TTTATTAATTTCCTTTAATTATTTAGTTTATATGAGAACAATTTTAGGGTAAGCCTGTCTTAATTTTTTATAAACGTGTCAAGAGTGAGGGTGTCAATTTTTGAACACTTACAAGATTCTAAATAGTTGAACTAAATGTTTGACATTAATACATACACGTACCACTTGCAGGAAAGCGGGCCTAGGTCTTTGTAAACCTTTGTTTTTCTAAAAGGCAAGCACGTTTTATTAAACAATGTTCAACAATTTCATAATCGAGTGAAGCGAAAATACATTTTTGTAGACCTGTATAAATGTATATTACTAACAAAGAAGCGCATGACATTGTTAAATAGTTATTACCCTACTTACGGTCAATTAGTGGGCCAAATAGTAAAATGTATTGTTTCAAATGAAATTTAAAACCACAAATGAAATAAACTTTAAAGTCTGTAATGCACTTCATCGTTCAATTATGTCAGTCTATCTATGTAGAACAAATTAGTGTCATAAAAAACTTGAAATGATCATACTTGTATACAACAGTCGGATAAAAAAAATAAATACCGATATAGTTTTAATGTTGGTGTTGCTGTTTAACGAATACTTGAGGTCTTGGTAAGAAGGCATATAAATATCAACACTGGTTTTAATGTACTTGCACATTTACATGTTTTTTTTTATATTTCAAGTAGAAACCATAAAAGTAAACAAACAAAGAAAAATCAAGATACATTGTGTATTTGATCAGCGGCACACTATTTGTACGGTTCAATGATTCTCAATATACGAGTGTCTGGTTTTGAAAAAGAGTTCTCTTATTTTAGAAAATGAAATGTGTAATTCATTAATTTCCCCCCATTAAATATCAAGATGTTTTGTTGTTTTTTTATTTTGAAATTATTCTTTTATTTGCCACCGTTAATTCCCGCTGCTATGTTACATTCAGTAAGTATACATATATATTTTGTCCATATATTAATGCGAAAACGTTACTTTATTCTTCTCGTTTCTTTCAAGTACTCTATGTTTTTCATACACGATTGAAAAACAACTAAATAAACGCAAAACTTAAGTAATTTTCTCAATAAACATACGTTAATAAATCAATTGTTGAAGTTTTTATCGCAAATATCTGAAGTGTCCTTGTTCATTGTAAAAAGAAGATAAAATATATGCGCGTAATGTGTTAAGGGGGTTTATACTATCTTACCAGAGCGACAAATCAACCAATTTTCTGCACAATTGATCTATTGAGAGAAAAACTTTGACAGATGAGGTAATACAACTATTCAAGCAATAGTTTCAATATAGTTTAATTGACTCGTAGACCTATTCAAAATATGAAACAATTTTATATAAAGGACCATAATAACGATAATTGAAAAACTTCTTAAAGCACATTATTATGCGTCAGAAATAAATAAATTTTAACTTTTACGTGAATTTTATAATGTTTCAATGTGAAATAATTTGTCATGAACGTAGCAAAATGTAAACAAATACTCAGTATAGGAATTTTACTTCCATACAAAATATCACTATACATGTATATCATAATTGTACTTATTGCCAATAAGCAACAGATGCAAAAGATGGGTCAGGTAATTGGCCAATGTGTAACTTTTTGGTTACTATAGAAGTACATCAATATTAAATAGTTTTTGAGAAATAAAATTAAAAATATTTTTTGGGGCATATTGGACCTAAATATAAGTTAGAACAAGTTAATCTGTCAAGTTCATATTTATAATATCATTGAATGATTTGGTATGAATTCAAATAAAACTTATTTTGCCTGATTAATTTTTTTTCTGTAAATTTATAATAATAACTCTCATTTAAAAAGCTTGCAGACGACACATTTAGCTTCCAAATGATTAATGAATACTCAGTCATACAAACCAATTAAAAATGTATACACCTTCAGACGACGTTGGTAAGTTAATTTCATTCGGATACGGTATATATAATATAAGTCTTCTGTTGGAGTACTTATACTCGTACAAGTTCCGTCTTGTATATTTACAAACGTGTTTTTCATCAAATATTTCATGAACTATGACAAATATATTTTCTTATCCACTAACAATGTCATATCGTAAAAGTACAGCCAAATAAAATATCAACCTGTAATTGAAAATTAAAATTCAATTTTAAATCTATATAAAGTGCTACCTGCTAGAAAGATAAATGTTTGCAATCCACTTGACAAACCAATTAGAGTGGCACTCTGCGAGTTTCATGACCTGCATGATTTTATTTGTCATCAATTAAAATTCTTAAAAAGCTTTTTAGGGGATATTTGAACAATATATATAGTTGGAAAAGGATAGTCCAAATATGTATAAAATTATAAATCAAACACTGCACATTTGATAGTATCACGCCCAAGGAACATAGATTTGTTTTCTTAAAACATGAAACTTTTTATGTAAAAATGTTGAAGGTTTTTGTTTGATAACTCTATAATATCGATACTGAAAAATAAGACTTTTGTGATAAAAATAACAGCAATCAGGGAAGCCTGTGTGTAACTCAACGTTGCAAGATCGTGATTTTCAGTTGTAGGGTTGCTTGTCGCCGCTTTGGAAGTAACTTTGGAAAGTGATGATTTAATTAAAAATCACAATACATGTACTGCACATAAATACACATAAAGCCTGATATTTTAATATTTTTTATACTTTTCGTTCTCTTTCTAAAATTTAAACAATGCATTTCTTGCTTCTAAGTTGTAGTAAAGCTAGTGAGCGTTTTGTTCGTCTAGAGTCCTACAATAGTTGTTTTCATGTATTTATTAATTTTAACAACTCGTCCTAGACGTCTCCTATATTGTCCCTCTACAGACGCCTATTGGAAGAAAACAAAAGTAGAAAAATGCCCCAATAAATGTCCTTATTATTTATACAAAACTGATATAATTAACTTGTCAACTAATTTCCGTTTCACTGAAAATCAAAACGTATTCTTGATATCAAGTTACATATATATCCTATTAACCTTATTTAGACACAGGTATTTATTACAAAATCATCAACTAGTTAAAGGGTTATAATGTGTTTCGACGGTAATTGAATTGTATTACAAAATGAACAACAATAGTTTATCAGTAAACGTCAATCTTTGTGATCAATTAAAGAGAGAAAATGTTGGTGTCAGTTTCATGTAAATGCATGTAGAAAACTGCTCGCAAGGTCCTTGTTCCAATAAAGGTTCCTGTTTCTATATCAATGTTACAATTAATTCAGTACAAAAAATGGCATCACAACAAAAGACGAAAGCGGCAAATAATGGAAACAAATCAAAGATAATTGCATCACTCTAAAAATAACATAAACAACTCAATGTTGATCAATTTCTAATTATCTTGACTGTTACCAATGGAACAAGTACAGGAAGTTAATTATAGATCTGCCAGGTAAAATTACGTCAGTCTACTGATTATTTTACTATAGGGCGTGTAGTCATAAGCGCATCTTATAAATCTTTTAAATTGTGCCCTCGTTCTTTATTGTTTTTTGTTTTGTTTTGTTTTTTACATATATAAACAAGCATAAACTAATATTCATTATATGTGTCAGCTTAAGAAATCCGTATTAATTTTGTTTCTTTCTCTGCTGTTCGTATTATTGTACCTGTTACAACCTGTTAATTTGCTTTACATTTTAAATAGTAAAAAAATGTAGTCCAATCACTTCCCCTCCATACTTAGAGCATTAGTTTTGTAAAATGTTTTTGACAAGATTATATTTTTGTTACGTGTACTACTGCTGCTAACTTAATGATTGTATATGTTCACATGTTTTTGCATATTGTAAACTGTGACTCTGACAATAAAGTTTGAATTGAATTGAATTGAATTGTGAGCCAAGTTATATGTGGATACTTCTGCAAGTATTAAAATAAATTGTTCCGAGGATATGATAAAAACTAGATCCAACAACGTTCTCATATAATTTGACATTATTATAGTTAATTATAAGTTATAATTATTGAATTATTGATCACGTCACAAAGTAACAATAAAGCATACGTTATTCTTTTTAGTACAGATAGTTGCATACAATAAAATGACAGTAAAATGCAAATTAATGATTGTTTTTCAATATCGTATGAAGTTTGCTTTAGAAAAGTTGATCAATGTGTTATTATTTTTATCGTGTTAGCATGTAAACAAACAACAAAATTTTATAATAGATTATTAAAATTATACGTATCTACATGTATTTTACATTTTTGTAATTGTTTTCCAGAACTTTTTATTTGGGGAGATGGTCTATATTGTTTCTTTTTGCTTTAATCTATTATTGATGTTCGTGGATTGAGTCAAATTCAAAAATGAAAAAGTACGTATTTTTCTCATATGTAAGGACAACCTTCTCTTACTTGAAATTACTCTTATTGGCCAGCCCATGTTTAAAGTCCAAATTTCTAGACACACATAGCCAAAATATTCTCAATGCCAGTTTGGATTATTTCCCCAAGACATTTTCCCCCTTAAAATGAAGTACTTTGGGTATACAGGACTGTCTTGACCTCTGTAAACACTACACTATCGTAATAATATTACCAGTTTTATAATAATATTCTATAAATATTTTATTGTAACTAATGTTTTCTTCTCTTATGTAAGCACCATAACTATTTCAGCACAAAGTTGAAGTCATTTGTACTCAATGTGTGTGATTCATTTGTAAACAAAGTACACGTATGTGTTGTTTAATTCATCTACATAAATTTACAAGAAGCAACAAAACAAGTTTTTTATCATTATTGTTGTTTTGTTTTATTTTATTTCCGAATAACTTTCTAAAGTTTACATTAAACATGTAGTAAATACTTTGAATTTATTCGTCGAGATGTCAAACTCTTTGCATAAGTCGTTGGTAGTCTTGCTTCCAATTAAATAAGATGTTCGACTGGACTTTTAAATAAAATTATATCTTCAACTGCCAGTTTAAAACTATAAACTTTCTGTTAAATATAGAAAACTTTGGGGAATATATAAAACAACATAACTAATTACCAGATTTAATAATATATTGCAATATTGCATGATACATAAAATAAACATCTTTAAAATAACAATAAACAATAAATGCTTGTAAACGCATTATACAATGAACAGATGCAGAAAACGTTAGCAATTCTTATAACTAATTCTGCATGTTTTATTTTAACCTGAATGGCCTTGATATTTGGAAATGCATCGTCTTGATGTAGCTAGCATGTTAATGGGTCAAACTTATAGCAATAACGTCCATGATTTAGTTTCGCTGCAATTATTTTGATTTGCCGTTTTGGATGTGTGTTTCTTTTTACGTTAAGGTTTGCACTTATTTATTTTCTTTAAATACAGTGCAATTCGTGCGGGAGACGATTGGACATAGCGAAACGCACAGGCCATGGCGGCATTTCTCGATAATTAATGCAGAGAAATATACATGTATAAATTTTAACATGTATTCATATCATTATAATCTCCTATGTCATTAAAGTTTTTTTTTAAATATTAAATAAAATAAGTGAAAAGACGGCGCATTTAAAATCATACAGTTCGTCTCATCCTGCAGTCAGCCGCCAGTCTTGACACTATTTCAACGCTAATTAATAAAGGTAAATCGCTGTAAAATATACCTATTTATGGATTTGATCGCATTATTACTGTCATATGATTAAAATTTTGATCGCATTATTACTGTCATATGATTAAAATAGAGATATCTACGAATTGACACACAGTTAACCTACAGATTAAAATGGATTTAATACTTTAACAGTCATAAAATCGATATTTAAAATAAGCTTAAAATATAACTTAAATCATGACCTTGCATTATCAAAAAGTATATTTTAATCTTTTTCGCAGATTAAACTATTTGTCTGTGTAAGTACAATACACGATTATGTTAAAATCAATGCATGGCTAATCCATCATTTCTTTCCATTACAAAATAAATGCAAAATATATATTCCACTACAACTGAGAAAATACCTAAAACATAGGCAATATTTTGAAACAGAAACAATAGATAATACAAGTACATTTGTATCCCCAAATTAATTTTAGATGCAACAATTTTAAAAGAAATTCATGAGAGAAAAAAAATATGCCTTTTAGAATAAAGCGCGATACTGCTCAAGAGACATATCCGTTGAACTAAATATTAGCTTAGTTTTTCCATAGAAAAATCTATAAGTTACATAACTCTTACCGGGAGACTTTCAATTAGATACACAAGAAGGTATGTGTGCTATAACAGAGAATGATCATTTATTTTGAACAAAAATATTGCATTATGAGACATAATATTGCGACGAGTACAAACTGCTCACGACAATACAGAGCCAAATCCAGTTTTTTTTTTATCAAAGTAAGGGAAAATCTATTAATCATAACGACTGGGTCTTCTTCAAAGCAAGTAACTGATTAGCTCCCCTATTAACCAGTTCAATCATTTAAACATTAAACAGAAGAATCAATTACAGGAGAGATAAACAGAGGATATTTTGTCTATCACTGGTAGACATATTATTAATTATTCATCTACAGTCTCTTTAAATGTCCAATCACAAAGAATGTAAGAAGAAATAGCCATTATAACTCATTACTTATTCATCCCAATAAGTTTATGCAGAATTTTATAATTAAGTTCTTTGTTGGTGAAAATTGAATCTTTACAGTAACAAAAATAGTCTTTAAGACTTTTTAGATACCAGTTTTATTAACAACTGTGGACGAATCAATAAACTTTAATATCAGTATTAAATAACCAGAACACTGTTAATCACTTTAAATAAATCGTTTTAAGTTTTGTACTTAATTCAATTTTTCAAAGAGGAATATCTTATTGAATATGAATATTAATGGTGGTTTAATAAAATTTAATTGAGATAATAAACATTAAAAAGACACATCCACTCTAATAAAATGGATGACTTCAAAATCAATTAATCATTTAAAAGACTTGCTATGAAGACCCGTTTACAAATTTGTAAATAGTTAACGTGGAATGGTTAACATATAACATGAGAACACTATTAAGTTTGCAGTCAACATACACAAAATGAAATGACTGAAATTTTCTATTAATAAGGCAGCTTTCGGTACTGTAATCATAGAAACAAGTACTTATAGGAAATGGCAGTATAGAATTACTTTTAAAAGACATGCATCAGTATGATCACATTAACCTGTGACCTACACTGGTAGGTTCCAATCGTTTTCCTGATATTTCTGGTAGCAATGCTGGTACATTTTGCAAGGTTCCCCGTTTCTCGTGTTTCTTTTCAATTACAATTGGTATTGGCCTATATAAATCGCCTGCTTTTTCGTTTACATGTTGACTAGTATTCCCATTATTAGACCCGTTATCACAAAGTGTGATCGTCGATGGAGTTGAAAATCCTTTTGATGTCTTTTTATTGTTTTGTGTATTGATTTTTGTACCTGTGAGTGTATCAAAAAGTCCTTGTTTACAGATATCATCGGCACCTTTATAGATAGGTCCTCTGTCTAATTCCATATTGTTGTTATTGGCGTTTGTAAAACCATTATGATTAATATGATTATTTTTGTTTGGGCTATTGCCATATCTCTCATTCTGAATGAAATCTCCCATATTATTTGTCTTATTTCCATTCTTTATTTTGTCCAATGGCCGTAGTTCTTTTTGAGCCATCGGTTTTACACTGAAAATATCACTAGTGAGGTGTTCCGTTCTGATTGGGCCACGAGGTGTCAAACTGTCTTTGAAATTAGAACGGCCAGCTTCTCTATATTTTGGGCGATTACTTTGCATTTTAGTTAAATCATTTTCATTTTTGCGTAACCATTTTGAATCTTTTTTTATTTCATCCTCTAAAGCACTTATTCTTGTAGAGAAGTTTTCAATAAAAAGATCGCTCGCTGACTTAATCATCTGGCTACCAGATGGTATTGAATAATGAGGCACAGGAGTAACTGGCTCTGATTCGTGAATTGTTTTCATCTTTCCTTTTTGATTAACAGCACCATCCGAATGAGTACTTCTGACCCGAGTTTCTTTCCTACGAACATGTTTGACATATTCAATACCAGATAACCTAGTGTCATTTGATGCCACTTCTTTATGTTTGACTGATTGCTCCCTACCAATAAAAAGCTCATTATGGATCGACTGTTGTGGTTCCTTTTCGACAGATTGTTCAAAATACTGATTTCCTTTTTTAGCTTCTGTCAAATTTTCTTCTACTGACAGCAAGCTTCTACCTGTAGATATATGGGTTTCTTCTGCACTCGTATATCCAGTACTACTTTTAGCACTACTTTGTCTACTTTTCAGATTTAAATTTCTGTCACGCTCTCGTTCAGCAGTAGCCAGCTCTTTCTTTAATTGTCTTTTCATTTCCCTTTGCATTCTTTTACATGTATGATGCCATGTAGTTGAAACTTTCTCTGGACGTTTTTTTCGCATAGTATACCATTCTTTTCTGTCATCATACATAAACTTCAGCGTCCTATAACTACCATTATCATGTATATACCTACATGTACCCTGTTCAATGTTGGATTTCCACGGCGGAACAGGAAATGTTTCCATTTCATCTCCAATACACCTGACCGCCTGTTTCTGCTCTCCAAGAGCTGAGCCATTAGACCAATAATCATCTCCAAAGTTTTGGTTCGAGTAACCATTGCCATAAGTAAGATCAGTAAGTGATCTTTCCACAATTCGTTTCTTTTTAATAGTGTTACCGTTATTTGTTTTTAAAGCATTATCATTTGGTTTTTTCCATCCTGTGATTGCATTTGTCCACTCTACAGCAGATCTTGAACCCTTTGTTTTATTGTCATTAAAATATATAGACACTTCACTTAAATCTATCAAGCTATTTGTAACTTCCCTGTCGTCATAATTGTGGTCTGATTCACACATTGTTAACAACACTTAAACTAAGGTAGATCTAAATAATTCCCTGAGAAGTTTCTTAAACGACATTTATTTTAGCTATCTGGCCGTCTGATTCACTGGATTACAGGTAAAGGATTAACCTTCATAACGATATAAACACAAATGCTTTAAATTCCAATATATCCGATAAATATACATACGTGGTATTAAAGCGGTAGATCGACTTATCTATTCGTAGGTGTTTAAACACTTCACATTCTCATGCAATACATATGAGCAAGCATGATAAGAAGATAATCATTTACATAAATAAAACTTCCGTTTACTGATCAATTTTACTTTCTCTTTCGAGTATTTATCCTTACACGGCGCACTGACCATCAATTAAAGAATCGCTTCACCAGTAGCAACAGTAATCAAAATACTTCCGGCAGACGATCGGAAGTGCATGTCGCTTAAACAAATATAACCATTTAATTTATGAATAAAACAAAATCAATTGCACTCTCATATTCGACTCTATTTCTTATAAACAAGGCATCTTTTGCACTACTCAAAAAATATATTTTCGTAAAACTCTTAAAATATTTTGTGGAAGATATAAGCGGATATTTGCCCATGCGCGAACTAGATGCGCAGAAAAAATATTACCGCCGAGAAAGAAAAAAATGTTCCGTCAAAAACCACGGAATGCTCCAAATAAGAGCTCTGTTTTTCTTTCTCATGAACAGTGGCAATATTCTGGAAACGGGTACAAGCGGTTGAGCCAAGTATGTTTTTTTTTCGGTGAAAAGATCTTTGAAAATAAATGTTTCGTTTTCTTCGAAGCTCATGAAAAATGCAGTGGGTGGGGTAACAAAAACAAAGATGTTTTGGAAACTATCCCAACATTTTTACGGAAAAAACAAACTAAAATAGTTAAATCTTTAAGGAAAATATTAGGTAAATAAATTATCAGACTTTATATCATGTAACAATGTGTTAGATCTAGTCTGTTTGATATTTTTTTAATGAAAATTGAAATTAAGAAAATAAAGTATGAACCACTCAAACAGACTTACTCTTAAGTTATGTCTGTTAAACCTTTAGTGATATAATAATAATGGTTGAGTGTCTGCCAAGAAGCCAACTTTCCTTTGTATTCCTTTTAGTAACCTGGTCAGTAGCTAAGGGTTTTTCTGGTTTCAATTGTGAAAAAGTTACAAAGCATGATTGAAATGCATCAAGTTATTCATTTGTGGTCATGAAAAATTGACTAACACTCAATAACAGGCAGAAAGACAAGAGTGCAATTAGAATGTTCCTAAAATTTAAAAGTAAAGGGAACTGTATCTAGGTAAAATGCTAGGATGTTTAATTTAATGAAACACATGCTTTATCAACTCATGTTTCAAATAATTAAAAGAAATAATAAAATTCTTAGTTACTTTATGTAAACTACAAAAAAATGGTTTGTCCAAGATTCGACGTTGCAACTATGAGGTCACTCCCCACTAGGCAATTAAGCAGTTATAATGATTTATGTTTTGAGATCTATACTGTCATTAAAATTCTTAGTGTAAATAAATATAAATAATAGTAAATTACAAATATTATTAACAGAAACCGGAAAATGTTTTGGTCAATATTGCCAAACAATAATTATTTTTCATTTAAAACTGATAAATGTAAAGATTAATAAAAATACAAGACTTAGAGGCATTGATGACAGCTGTTTGAATGTCATGTCAGGCAGATATTTTTGAAAATTACTTTTGTTGAATCAAAGCTTGCTTGCCCTGACCTAAAAAGATAGAAACCACCAAACATTTTCAAAATGGGTGTGCAATCTTCCAAAAGGCCTTTGGGCATACATGTGAACTCCACTTTAAGCGGGAGACTCCCACTTTCTGCAGTCATATTTTCAAAGATTTTTCTTAAAATAAGGGGTATTTTCACAAATTAAAGAAATATCCCTCTTTTTGATATCAAAACTTTCTTCTTTGTTAATTGCAAATTCTAAAATCTCCCTCTTTTTGAAAAAAAATCTCTCACTTGATAAAAAGTTCACATGTATGTTTGGGAGTTAATTTATCCACTAGTCATGCATTTTTGATAATAAAACATAGATTTTTCTTTGTCATATTAAACAGATATTTATGAATTGTTCTAAATTATTAAATAAATGAGATATGACATTTTTGTGTTTATTTAGGTACCTAAACATGTTCTGGAAAGTGTCAGTGATAATGACATACCCCTTACAGTTACTAAACTTGATGATGGAAGTCTCGATCCAGAATGTGATAAAGAACAATTCTTTCAAGACTTAAAGGTAAACAACAGAACATCATTCTTTCTAATAAACCTTAATTAATAATTTCATTACCTCAAATATATTCTTTATATCTAGAAGTTAAACATGTTTTAGAATTTGGTGCTTTTTGATATTTTTAGTGTATTTTTAGGACTGTTGTTGTAATTTCAGGGAATCCTAGGAAAACTAATGAACTTTGAGTCTCGTAGAGGTCAGGATGATTCCGGAGCCGACGATGAGCAGAATAAATATGCAGTTAGCTTGTATAAAAATGGTGGAGTGGATGTAAGTTCTTTTCCTGTGTAAAATCTTGAAATTCACCTCATAAAATAACATCTTTTCTGTGACATTATGATTATTAAAATAATGTACATATTTAAAATATTTTTATACCTTTAAAAGTAACTTTCTACAGGTATATTTTATATATCCATGGTTGGTAAATATCTTTATGATTTTTCCTGAATGCAGGATTTTTAGATTCTAAGAAGTCTGCTTTTTCTTTAAAAAATTCTTCGTAAAAAAACTGAATAATTTTTTTACTTTGCTTTGAATTTGGAACAGTTATTTGAAGGTTAAGGGATTTTATTATCAAGGAACAAAAAATTAAGTTCTACCAACAACTTTCATGTAGTCATGAGTTTTTCTCTTTTAATTGGAAAGATACCTTTTGATTTTTTTTAGAAGAATTATTGCTATTCAATTTTCAAGAAACCTGCATCAGTGTTCAATCTAGAACAAATTCCCAGGGGGCCCTTCGGGCCCATAAACTTTTCAAAAGGGGGTCATTTGAGAAAAAAGGGGGCCCACACTTAAAATGAACATCAAATTCAAATAAGGTGTTGTATCTTTTAAGTTACTTGTTCACGTACCATATTTAGACCAAAAACGGTTGAAAATTCCAAAACAGCTCGACTAAAAAAAAAATGACATTAGCGTTGATACAGGCTCAATTTTAAGAACTGATTGGTAAAGAAACGCGATGACATAATGTTCAAAGAAAAATATGAATCTTATTTTAATGTTACCAGGGATATTTGATAATAATGTTCAGTTTTTAGCTCGACTTTTCTATGAAAAGGGGAGCTATCCTACTCGCCCCGGCGTCGGCGTCACACCTTGGTTAAGTTTTTCGTACCACCCCACTTTATTTCAGAAGTATTACAAGTATGGCTTTGAAACTTACCATACTTGTTCACCATCATAACCTCCATCTACAGACAAGAGTACATAACTCTGTCAAGGTTTTTGACAGAATTATGGCCCTTTTTTGACTTAGAAAGTGTATTGAGCTTGGTTAAGTTTTTTGTACCACCTCACTTTATTTCAAAACCATTGGAGGTATTGCTTTGAAACTGACCATACTTGTTTACCATCACGACCTTCATCAACAGACAAGAGGACATAACTCTGTCAATGTTTTTGACAGAATTATGCCCCTTTTTGACTTAGAAAATACATTGAATATGGGTAAAATCCACTTATTGCCTTAACCCTTTGAGATATTGCTTTGAAACTTTTAATGCTATTTCACATCATTACCCCCATCTGTACGCAAGAGAAGGTAACTCTGTCAAGGATTTGTTTTAAAAATTAGGCCTTTTATCGACTTAGAATCTTGGTTAAGTTTTTAGTACCAGTCCACTTTTTGACTGAACTGTTTGAGATATTAATTTGAAAGTTGGAATACTTGTTTACAATCATGATTCCCAAACATGTCCAGGAGAAGGTAATTCTGTCAAAGATTTTATTTGAATTATGGCCCTTAACTGTCAATGTTTTGTATTATAGGCAAGCACTAAAAAACTTAAAAAATCTAAAAAAATTCATTCCTATCCACTGAACCTGCAGTGTTCAAGGGTATCACACAATTCAGTAAAATAATTCTTCACTAAATATCTTAATGCTCATGGCCATTGTTCACTTTAAAAATACAGAGATTCTTGTATTGCCTTTTACTGCAAAAACTTTTTTTATTGGCAAGCAATAAAAAAGTCGAGCGCGCTGTCTTACGGACAGCTCTTGTTTAATCAGCGCCCGATATATAAAGGAAAATCATATTTTGAAATTAGCTTTGTTTATGAAGAATATAAACTTACAATAGTCGCTAAAAACATTTACCTTTCTCAATATATCCAAGCGAAAAACAAAGTGTCAACAGGTGCTAAGACAATGTATATTGACATACCGGTACCTTTGATCTTTTGTCGGGCAGCAGTTCTTACGTCACGCTTAAGATGTCTGTATTGATTAATGATATGCACAATGTTTTAGCGCCGACCAGCCAAAGACCAATCAAAGTTAATTTACTTAATTGTCAGACACTCCCTAGCCAATCGTGTTTGATTGCTCCATCTTTAAGACTTTTTTAATTTGATGAAGGCGTGTTTGTAATAATTTATGCACACTTCTCTATAATTAACTCGCACTTTTCACAAATATATATATTTTTTTCTTTTGGAAAGTTATTACATATTTATTTGTTTTGACCGTGAAAAAAACTATAACTACATGCACGTATTGGATTATCTGTGACAATTTGTTTTGCTTATAAAAACTGTGACTCAAAAGTAAGTAATAGTTACGGTACGAAGAACAAGTCTACATAGTATTTACAGACGCGGACCGAGAGAGCGTAGCGATAAAGGTTTTAAATGGGTTACCGAGTGCGGTAAACTATCTTACCAACATGCTCTTGTTTTTCAATACAAACTTCAGTTTTGAATTCAGTATTTATTAATATTATTCACAAGAAACTTCTTTTATGTACTTAATCAGGTTTAAGAAAGCATTCTAATGTCATTTAGGGCATTTTCTATGAGTGCGCCCGTCGGGCCCACAGTTGATTTTGTTTTGCGCCGGCGGCCTTTTCAGGGGGTCAATGGCGCAATGGCGCGCTCTAGATTGAACACTGCTGCATGATTGTAAATAAAATTTCTGTTGGAAAGGGGCCTTTTATAGTGTTCTGTTACATAAAGGGAAAACTCGTTTTAGTGTCTAGTCCTACTGGCCTGGCTCTATACTGGTAGTAAGGACTTAGTTACTTACAGTTTCAGTAGAATGAGGAGTAAGGACAATAACACCCAAAAACCAGTGTATGTACATTTCTGAATAGTTTATTTCTTTATTTTCAGGTACTGGTCAGAATTTTGATGTTTCCTTCTTTATTTCCACCATTCACAAAATATAGGAGAGGTATGTGAAAATAGATTTCTTAATTTGGAAAATAGCTGTGAAAAGTTTTAAGTCGGAGGATTTACCTTAACAGAAACAAACATGTTGAAAATGAACTTTCTGCACTATAAACCAATGTGTGTATCATATTAGATAACTATATTAAGTTGATAATTATACAATAAGGAAATGTTATGACATGGGAATGTGTTGAATGATTGTTTTAACACATCAAAAAAGGATTGACTTGTTGACGATTATTGCTTTGATCTCTATAAATTCCTTGAATAGAGCTAATGTGCTTTGAAAAAAGATAAACATATTGTTTCAAAAAACATTCTTAGAGAATTATCAATATCTTGATGTTAATTTTTCAATTGTTTACCTCAGAATTGGGAAAAATACCAGTGCATATTACCTGGCCTTAACTTGGCTTAAGGCAATAAAACTAGTTTCAATGTACTTGTTAAATCTCTGGATTATCATTGGTCAGTGTACATTCTCTGCTGTTTTCTGACCAGTCAAATATAAATGTACAAATATAAATAGATCTGAGTTTGAACTTAAAATTTCTTTAAAATCTCAAACTATTAAGTAACGACTTTATTTAATGAGGCTTACACATTTGGTTTCCTGATCTTCCATGTGGGCCTCAGCAAGCTCAGGACACAACATAAAGTAATAAATAATATTTGAAAATGCACAATATAGCAATGTATTTTTTTCTCTATACCCAGACCTTTTCATCAGTGGAGAAAGTGATGTCAAAATTTCAAAGACAGTTATACAATTTTATACATTTAATTTATTTTTATTTATTTCAGAATCAGACAAAGACTTAAGAATTAAGGCCATGGTGCTAGAGATACTTACAAAAATGACACCAACTGTGAGTATGAAATATCAAACTACCAATACTACCATCACGAACAAAAAAAAATTGAATTAAGTCACCCTTGTTGTTCACATATGCTAGTCAAATATATATCATTATTAAAATGGTCATAATTATGCTCCCCGAAAAATTTCGGGGAGCATATGGTCGCCGGGTTGTCTGTCCGTACGTACTTCCCGAGTTCGTGTCCGGTCCATAACTTTGTTATTTGAAGTTGGATTTTACAACTATTTCACAGAAATGATCACCATATTGAGGCGATGTGTCGCGCGCAACATTTGGGTCGCTACCTTGAAGGTCAAGGTCACAGCATGACCTGGAAGCAAAATCGTGTGGTCCATAACTTTATTTGAAGTTGGATTTTACAATTATTTCACAGAAATGATCACCATATTGAGACAATGTGTCACGCACAACAATGGGTTGCTACCTTGAAGGTCAAGGTCACAGCATGGCCTTGCAGCAAAATCCTGCTCGACCCATAATGTCTGTATTTGTAGTCGGATTTTACAACTATTTCACAGAAATGATCACCATATTGAGAAGATGTGTTGCGCGCAACATTTGGGTCGTGTCCTTGAAGGTCAAGGTCACAGCATGACCTTGAAGCAAAATTGTGTCCGGCCCATTACTTTGTTATTTGTTGTCGAATTTTACAACTATTTCACAGAAGTGATCAACATATTGAAAAGATGTGTGGCACGCAAGTCGGTAGATAGATCTCTTTGAGTAGAAGTGCAGTGCAAAGAACAGTAACTCTGCCTTGCCTAAGTTTGGAATTATCACAGTTTGAACTTTGTCTGGGAAATAACTCTGAAACTACAAAAGATATACTTTTCTGTGTCCAAAACCTAGTCGGGGAGCATCACCCGGTTCAACGGCTCTTGTTATATTTTCTGACAAAGACTAGTTTTTGTCCTCCTTTTTGATGGGAAAAGACCTTTTTGTGACAGGGCAGTAAATGTTGTTTGTTCTTCCCATTTCACTCTTTATGTATGAAATTAATACTGCTCCTTTGCCCAAGTCTATAAAATTCTTAGACTTTTTTGCTGATTTAAAAGTCTGAATTCTCCTTTCTACAATAAAAAGTGGATATAAAAAAGTATTTAGAGCTGTTAAAAAAAACAGTGAAATAAGCGGTATATCTCACTGATGAAATCTGATATTTCATCTGACAGTTTTATTTATTTTTTCAGACTGTTGGAGAACAGGTCACAACCTACTTGATGGAACAAGAGGATGTACTAAGTTATATGTTCACATTGTTAGCACACCAGAAAACTTTCATTATAGCCTGTCAGTTGATAGAAGACATGCTACAGTCCAAAAAAATACTTCTAGATCTGAACAAAATAAGTAAGTTTAAATAGCGTAATGGTTGAAATATTTGTCTGTATAATCCTGATCCTGCCGGAACAGAAAGTAAAATTTCCCTTGCCATCAGTATATAGTATATAGGTCAGTCTGAACTTTGATGTAGACTGGCCAAGTCCTACAGTGTTGGTAGCTTAATAGTTGTATTCTGATAGCAGTGATTTTTCGCTTTATATAAAATAGGCCTATAATAGACCTCTGCCCAATGGAAATTTTCTTTAAAACCATGCAGTTTTCTAAAAAATTTGAACTTAAACCACCTTTTTTCACTTCCCAAATTAGCAATTATTAGCAATCATTCTTCCCAAAATCAAGACTGGATAGTGAACTCCCTTCAAATTCAAATCTACATGAAGTATGCGTGTGAAAGGCCTAATGATTAATTGTATACATGTCTGTTAAAATCAAGAAATTTTTAGTGGAAGCTCTTCAAGAATCATAGTGTTTTATTATAAGTTAACAGTTCTGGTGAGCTCGAAAATGAACAATTACAAGAAATGCTTCAAATCAATATAAATAATGATTATATCCAGACTGATATAATTTTGTAAGGACAACAATGATTTATGTGGGAAATTCTGATGTGTAATGTATAATTTTTTGACACAACATGGCCTGTACAGTGTTTGACTAAGTTATAACCCATTAAATTAAATCATCATATCTTTAAGATGGGATTTTTATATTGATATATCTTGTGTTCATGCATCCTTTATGACTGGTGTGATGTTATTCAATGTATATTTGTTATCTTCTGTATAAAAATTTAGTAATAACAGATTTTTTCCCTTAAAACTAGTTGTGTTGATTTTCATAGAATGTTGTTATTTTTCATTTCAGATAATATACAAACATTGATACAATGTCTCAAAGACGACCAACTCGCCAACTTTTGTAGAATTCTCGCAGTAGCAATCTCAGACCTTGATATTTATGACAACAAATCCTCATGTAAGTTAAAAAATTACTCTTTACCATTTTGAGTGGTATGTCTACTTGTTCAGGGTTCTCGGGGACGCTTATTTCGGCGTCCCGGTACGCATGTTTATTACAGCTGGACGCAAATGATTTCAGAGCAAGGATTCCACGTACGCTTAATTTTGCCTGGGGACGCATAAACATTACCGATTGTTTACAACCAGAAATACACAAATGCGTCAGCGCGTGTCAGTCTATAGGTAGGCCTATGCACATCGACCCGTGAAGCGATTAGCCAATCAGCGATAACGCTTACGATCATTATCACGCAATTTAGTGATCAGACTAATGTATACACGCGCTGTACAGTACATGTAATTACCAGATATAACACGAGGTGATAATTTTATATCTTTGATCAACAGTTGATTGGAAATTAGCAAATTTTACCGACAAAAGGATAAAATTATCGACTATTTACGCCGCAAGTTTAAAGTTACAAATGCGTGTAATTTTGAATGATTGTCGAATATTTTCGGTATTTTCTATGCACAATTTTGCTTTAGTTTCATTCTTGCAAAAACTTTCGATAAAACTATTAAGAATTTAAGATATTGTGCCGAAATGCCAGGACAACAAACCAAAATACACATACGCTTTTCTTTGATATTTAGATTCTATCCGAAAATTGATCCCGAACATCGGCGATTTCACGTTCGCCAGAAACCCTAAAATTTCGCAAAAATTCTCGGTTTCCAAGCCAAACATGCGAATGAATTGTTCCTTTACTATTTAATCAACATTAAATCTTTAAATATCAATCTTCAATTTGCCCCCTTTTGAAGATATTTGCTAAAATAATTGTCGATCGGATGAATCTCTTACACACTGTTGGAAGCTGTACACGATTTTCCTATTCATTCCGCTAAACGCTGCCTATATACATTTACGTTTTTTTTACAAATATAAACTTTTTGTCTTTAGTCTAGAGTGGACTTATTTAACCAGAATAAAATTTGATTTGGTATAAAAGTGAAAAAAAAAACAAACAAACGATTTTCATGTGTTGATGCATTATAATGAAATAATTTCATAATAAATATCAACAACAAAACAATAATTATACAATGTAGTTCAGAGTTTGTAAACTTTGGAAGTCTCTTGAAGATTCAAAATATCAGCAATGCTATTGTGAGCATTGAATGACTAATCTGTAAACATATTAATTGCGACGCGCTTTTGGACTCCAACTTTTTCAGGGTTGGGAGTCCATGGACTCCATGTTTTAAAGTCCTAGTGAGAACCCTGCTTGTTACCATTTTGAGTGGTTGTGTGAACCGACCATCAATCTTTCTGCCTTCTCAAAACAAAATTGTGAAATGGAATAACATAACTCTATGTTGTTTTTTTCATAGCATGTTTATCTGAGTTCTATTTTTGTTGTTGAGAAACAAATAAGAGTGGAGGCTGTAGCCACATTGTAGGAATTGGTTTGATATCATGTGTCAGTCAGTTTAATCCTTTTGGTGCCTGTCCGACTAGCAGTGTTACACATATTTGCCTACAAGATGTGTAAACCTGTTCCTCCCAGAGTGCCACATTTTAGCATTTATATCGTAATTTTGGTTTGATTTTTGGAAAATAGAATGTCTTCACTTTTATCATTTTCTGAAGATGCTTCTTGTAATTCAAAGAAATATTCCAGGCTATACATTGTAATTGTATACTTAAAACCCAGATAGCTAAACTGTTTAACAAGTTATATAAACTATGATTTCCTCTAGAAGTTGGTATCTCCATAGTTGACAAATCTGATGATGAAAGAATTTGCCAAATGTACCTTAATATTTTATTTATTGATTTTATCATTTCAGTATTTGCACAAAATAAACAAAAAAGAAGTAAAGGTTTTGTAAATGTACGGGACATAAATCAGGAGTTACTTCTTGCTATACCAGAACTTTTACCTAGACTCGTAAACCTTGCAGTGTCAAAAGCTTGTAAGTACATAGGTTGATTTTAAATGAATATTGTTGTATGTCTGTTTAATTTTCAATAGAAAATGAACCAGATTTTTAATCCAGTGGTAGCTTGTTCAACTTCACAGAATATTCAGAAATCATGTGGGATTAGAAGTAGAGATTCTGGTAACTGCAGGTTACTTATCAAGGAAAGCCAGTTACATGGATCAACTGTCGAAATATTACCAAAAATGTGTTAAGAATTAGATTGGAAAAAAAACCAAACAAACAAAGCAACATACTCTCTGACTTGTGCTTATTTTCTTGGAAATAAAGAAAATGTTTTAGATATTAAAAAGAATTTGTTATAAAGTGAACTAATAGTGTAATTTTAGCAAGCATAAATATTAACTATCCTCATTAGTTACCTCATAATTGTTAAAATATGCAAAATAGCATTGATGCCATTAGCAACATGAAAATGGTGATAAAAGTTGTAAAATTCAGCATTTACGCTTGACTTATAGAATGTAATGCATAATTGATAATTCAATATTTTGTGAAGGGATGTAATAGGTTATTCTTGGTTGGGAAAATTACTTTATGACCTTTATAAGTTTCAACCATTGAAAATATATCTTTTAGTATTTAATGAAAATAGATGTTGAATTTTAAATTCTTGCCTTGTCTGTTTGTTAGAGAATAATTCTTTTCTTTGAGTGTGATCATCAGTAAAAAAAAAAATCATGATGAATGTAAATTGTAGATACTCCACGGTTCCCGGGAATGGTGAGTGAATTAGATTGTTGGATGGAGTGGATAGAGAACCAGATGGCAGAGGAACCATACGACAACCCACTTGATGATGAGATGGAAGATTTTATTGGAGGTATAAAACCACTAAATTACTAGCCAGATTAAACTATAGCATTTATTGACCTCTAAATTCCTGTACCTCTCCCAACCAAACCTCTAAAAATTAGCATTCTTTATGGAGGGATACAAAAAGTGTGTATGGAATAATCAACTAAATAAAACCACTTTGATTGTATTATGTATTCTTACCTCAAAGTGACAACAATTTCAACTGTATGTGGTATAAAAGGCACTAATAACTATTAGTGCTTTAAAGGTGTGGAGACGTTTTGCCTTTTCTGCTTCAAAACAATAATAGTATGAGAGCAGTGACCTTTATGCAGAGTTGAATGAGAACTTGTTTTGTTTAGCTTCATCAATGAATAAGTTTTTATGCCCCCACAAAGTGGGGAGCATATAGCGTTGCATTTGTCCATACGTCCGTACGTCCCGAAATCTTGTGAACGTAACTCCTCTTAAACCGGATGGCAGATTTTGCTTAAACTTCCAGGAATGAACAACCTTACTGTGTAAATGGTAGTAAAGAAAGGAATTTTTGCTGCGACCAAATTTAATAGAATTATGGCCCTTTGTTGATTTTTTCACTATATACTATGTAGAAATTTTGTGAACGCAACTCCTCTTAAACCGGATGGCAGATTTTGCTTAAACTTCCAGGGATGAACAACCTTAATGTGTAGATGGAAGTAAAGGAAGGAATTTTTGCTGCGACCAAATTTAACAGAATTATGGCCATTTGTTGATTTTTTCACTATATACCATATATATGTTGTCAGTGGGGGCATCCGTGTCCTTTGGACACAGTTCTAGTTTTACAGTAAAACCCCTTTTATGATCACCTTGGAATCATGAACACCCTGCTGTTAGGACTTTTTTAAAAAGAACACAATTTTTAGGCTGGGTTTCAAACAGTTTTCTCAGCAGCTACTTATCACCGCCTCTTGATATTTTGTATACAGCATAAACACATGGTCCCTTACTGTGGGATTCGATTTCAGGTCTGTCGCTCATCCACTCCCTGTTTACCTATTTTGTTAAATTTTGACATTAATGGTCAATGTTAGAAAATTTTCATAACACCACTGCCGCGTGATATTTGGTATACAAATGCAGCCCGGCCATTTTTGTCTTTGGCCCATTTTCTGTTCTTTATTTCATTGGAAACATTAGTGGCTATTAAGATGATCCTGCTAATCCACTATCAAGTTCACAATGTTCAGTCCCCATCTCTTTGTTTTCTTCTTCTTTTCACCCCACTATTGGGACCACTGATAATACAATTGACACCTGTCTAGACAGCAAGTTTGTTGTAAATATTTACTTTGATCCAACTTAAAATCTAAAGTCTGAATTTTGTAATTTTAGGTATAACAGCACCAACTACAGCAGAAAGTCCTATGCAGAAACAACAAGGCCTAACAATAACAGAGGAGCTAGTACAAAGAGTGGAAGTTGTTTATGTTTTAGGTCTATTCTTACTGGGTAAACATAGAAAAAAGGTGAGTGGATGAGATTCTTTCACACATTCATACATGTTTGGCCTGTTGTTGGTATTAAAAGAGTTTTGAGTATTGAGGAAGTTGAAACTTAAGTTTGCATGGTTTAAGGATTACTTCTTTTTATTTGAAAAATATCTATTTATAAAAGGGCTGCTGTAGCTTCTTGCCTTTTCCACTGCTGCTAGGAAGAAATGTCAAATAATTTCATATGAATCAGCTAGTTTGGCACACTTTGACCTAACATTTTAAATGTAAACCAATTAAAAACTAAACCATAGAAATACAACAGGCCTGCTAATTGTCATATTAGTACTATTAATTAACATGAAATTGGAGAAAATATAAAATTCAAAAAATTGCCACTGTATAGCTTATCCTATTTAAATTTCCTTTACACAGGTAACAAAAAGTCAATTCAATAAATTTGGTAATAGCTTAAAATTCAATTTTGAAGATATTTTGACCATGTCTTTAATTAGATAAATGGTTGAAGGATAAGATTTCAAGATTCAAATTTTTATTGGCAAAAACATTTTACAATGTCCATCGCCATGTTCGGCGGTTCAATAAACACATAATGAGAAAAGTATGTACATAATGAGAATGAGACAATTATAAATTAATTAGTAAATAGATTAATAAACCAATCCTTTTAAGAAATGATATGTGGCAGTTCAGTGTAGTAAGTTACTATGATGAAAACTTTGATGAGGCTCATATTTGCTTAAAATTCTCAAGTTTTTAGCAATTGTATAATTTATAAACATTTTGTTTATGTAATCTCTAGGTACAACGAAAGTTAGCAGAATTAAAGCTGGCACCAGGCCTCAGTGAATTGTTTGACCAATTTATATGGAAGTGTCAAGTGTAAGTATCTATTTTGTATCATGATTTACTGTTTAGAAATAGTTGAGAATTAAGGCAGACTTATCCTTGTTTAATGTATAAGCTAAATGATAGAGTGACAAGTCCTGTTCTCATTGCCATAAATATACTATCTGATTAGAATATGATTACTTTGTTAACTTATGAAATGATAACTTTTATTTTGGGAGGCATATTGTTTTTGCCTTTGCCATCTGTCTGTTCGCATTTAGCTTGTCTGGCTTTCACAGGTCAAACTGCTGGTGGGATCTTGATCAAACTTCACAGGAGTGAACAGAACCATACATAGCTTTGGGAGACATATGTCCCCTAGTTTAAGATTTTATGTACATGTTTCTTTTCTTTTTTGCGTTTTTTTTTTGGTGACAAAGAGATACCACTCCTTTTGTGAAAGATTTATTATTTTCACAGTTAAAACTTTGTTTTCAAGTTTCCTATTGGTGTATCCCTTACAAGTATGGATTTAGCATTTCACACATACTGCCTTGTCTCACCTTATTGTAAACATGTTATTGTTAAGCTTCCCATTTTTGCAAGGGATGAATTATCTTTTTATATTGGGAAAATCTGTTAAATAAGCGTAAACAAAAATACCTTTTGCTCATTGTGTCGCTAAAGATTTTTTATGTACTAAAGAAAAAGTAAAAATAATAATGAAAATAAAGTAACAACAAACATTTAATTCTAAACAACCATAAATATAGAAAATTGATGTTTGATGAATTGAGTTGTAGGTAATATACACAACTTATCTGTGTAGCAAATCTAAAGCAGAAAAGAAAGTGACAGAAACTCACAAAAATTAAATTGCAGGAAAAATAGCGAATCAATTTTTCACGATATTCATTGCACACAAATAAAGCAAAATAAGAAACATGCATAAAAACCCTGATATACGGTATATATTTTGTTATCTTAAATTTTTATGAACATATATTTAATCATATAAACACATATGCCCTTTATGTGTTTCTTGTACGGCACAATTACAGCCTGGATGTTAATAGATGTATTTTATTTACAGAGGTAGATATACAAATAGGCATAGGATGAGAGGACATAATGCAGCTTGTGAATGTAGTCCTGTAAGTTTGTTTAGACTTTTGTTGGGTTTTAAGTCATACCAACACTGTCAAGGCTGACATATGGTGACTTGCTAGCTTTTTGTGTGGAGATAGATGTTAGGTGCCCCTCCTTGCATTTTTTCAGGCCGCAGCAAGCAAATGAATAGAACCACCAATGTTTTCGGTAGCTTCCTTGCATTGTACAATCTGAAGCCATTTCTGGGAATTGAACCAAAGCGGTAAGGGCAAGTGGTCTTAACCACTTGGCCATGGACTTCCCAGTCTTGTAATAAATGCTTAATTAGACAAAATAACTGTAAAACAACGGACATCAATGGTCTTCCTTCACCACTAAAAAATGAAACTGGCTACATACACTTGATGATGAAGTTTGTTACCTGTAAAAAACAAATTATCTTATTGTTATAATGTTTTAATTGCTACATACTTAAATGACTTTAAAAGGTTCATTCGTAATTACATATCATACAAGTTGTTCATCACTTGATTTGTGTTCCTGTATCATTATAAAACGTAAAAAATCTTTCTTATATTATAAAATATATCTGAAAAGTATTAAAAAGTTAATGTCAGGAAAAATGTAAATGCATGAGGACAAATTTTGTAGTTACATATATACCTTGATTTATTGCAGGAAGTTGCATTGAAGATACAGTTTTTAAGATTAGTCCATAGTTTCTGTGATCATTCAGAGTAAGTATAACAATTAACCATATCATTGTGTATACAGATAGGTACCCACTTTGTGAAATCTTCAAAAACAGTACCCTCTTTGAGAAACCTTCAGAAACTAGGTACTGTCTTTGAGAAATCTTCAGAAACGCTACCCTCTTTGCACATGCACAGGTCATTCTCGACTGAAAACAGATCAACTGACAGAGATCTAGTAAATCTACATTCTACAGTCAGCTCACATATCTCATTAGGGAATGCAATGAATTTATAATGTGTGATGGATTTACCTTGCTTTGAATTCGGAACAGAGGTTTTCAATTTTGAGAGATGTCAAGAATAACTACAGAAATAAAGCTACTTACATTATACAGCATGGTCACAGTGCTTTCTTGAAGATGATAGAATGAGAGATTTTTATCTTAAACATATATTGTATTGGAAATGACCCTCAAAATGGCAGTCAAGGGAGGTAATTATTGCTATAAATGAAAACCATCTTTTGAATAGATACATGTAATTACCCTGAAGATGACAGCTTGAATTATTTTACAATCTACTGTAAATTTATTTCAGCTACAAACATTTATTGTTGTCAAAAAGTGAACTTAGTGAAGTCAAACGAATAAATGGTAAGTGAACTGTTTATATGTTTATATAAAAGAGATAATAGCTTTTACAATTATTAACTTACCATAGAGAATATTTAAGATTTTAAACAATTCAGTTTCAAAACATATTCCATTGTAATTTTTTTGAAAATATTGTGTTTTGTGGAATCAACTTTATAATAGCATTATATTTGTGTGTGTCCATTTCCAATAAACTATTACATATTGCTATATAAGTTTGTTGCCAAATTTTTCTTTCGGTCTGCTTTTGATGGCAACTGATTTTTTTTTTACCTATGTAACCAGTGCAGAACAAGATTATCTCCTCCAGTCTCTACCTAGTTTTGTAGCATTTGTATCAATTTATACATGTTTAGATTGCTGAAATTACTTTATATATATATAATTAATTTTTTGCAATTTCAGCCAAAGCAGGCTCACTACAACTGGCAAATTTAGACAATGTTAACAGGTAGTTATCCAATAGTTTTACCTTGTCTGTGAATGGTAGATAGTACATTAGAATCATACATTTTATCGGCTGAGAAATAATTTGATTTGTTATATTGTTATTCATTCAGAAATTGAAAAAGTGATACTAGTTATTATACCATTTACACATGCTGTGTCTGCTATAGACTAAGACCACACTTGAAGGTCAAATGCCAGTCAATTTATTGATTCCTGAAGGATTTTCTTTAAACTTAGCTCAAATGTTAACTTTCAGAAATAATGATTAATGGACTTAAATAAAATATTGTGTCTTAGATATGGCGATTGTAATGGTCACTCTTATTAAGCTCTTGTTGAATTAACATCGATTAAAGCACATTTCTATATTAAAATTTTTATTTTAAGATTAATGTTCACATTTATGGAAAGTGGCAAAAAAAAACCAGGATAATAATTTCCTTGTGTTGTTGCTGTGAAAATAAATGAAAAATTAGCCAGTATACATCTACACAAGTACAACCTTATGCCAGTTGAAATGTGAAAGTAACTTTATGACTTAAATAGCATTTTGTTTACTTTAAATGAATATCACTCAAGTTCATGATCATCTCATTTTATGTTGAACATAATTTTGTGACAATTATATTTTCTCATTATCAGACAGTTAATGTGTAGAGGAAACAAAGGTCTGTTGACAAAGATTGTTGAGGTGATGAAGAAAGAGCCAACTACTTCCACGTTCAGGTAATATCAAAAACTTATTTCTGATGAGGTCTCTATGACTAACTTTGGAATTGGCACGCATCCATTCGTTCATGTCAGAAACTGTGTAATCTTAGGGCAATTTTCAAGCCACTTAGTCCTGATACTTGTGAGAATCTTAGTATGAATGTGATAAGAAAAATGACTGTTCAGTTTTTACGTTTTGGGTATTGAAGCCCCTTGAAATTTAATTAGACTGTCCCAAGGTCAGATTTGGGCAAGTTCATTATATAAATTAGATGGAGTAAGTTAAGGATGAGCATACACCAATAACGCTTATATTAATGAATATATAACTCAGCATGGTTAAATGAGTAACTTAAATTAAGTAACACTTACTCATGAAGTATTTGTTAAACATACAATATATTTTACTGCCTGCAGATTTTGGTTGGCACGAGCTGTAGAAAGTTATCTGAGAGGTAACACATCTTACTGTGATCAAGTCTTCCTGATGAGACGTGGACTTCTTCAGGTAATATACATACATATTATACACCTGGTTTTTTCAGATGCATATATTCCTCCCTTTTGACACTTTATCACCCAGAAGTTTTTTGTTTTTTCCCTTACTTCAAGTCACAAATAAATGAATAAGAAAATTATTTAACTAAAACTTAAAGAGTTGTTGTAGTTCCTAATATCAAAGGGACAAAAGTTTGTTGATGTAACATATTTTCATCAGAATCGAAGAAAATTATTAATGATAATTGTTTTCCTATGTAAGTAGTTATGAGACAAAACTTCCACACTCAAAAGAGACATACTACTGCTCCCCTTATGCTGAAGAAAGTCAGTAATATTTCAGCTAAAAAAGGGTACTACTTTTCCCATATATCTGGCCAATCATGGGCCACTTTACTATTTTAAAGTACATTTTTTCCTCTAAAGCAGAGGGGGGTATTTCAGTTAAAATTGAAATTTCTCAGAATGGTAATCATTTAATGAAATTATTGCTTTTTATATATTGTTAACTTTGCCTGCTTAGCTTATTAGTAAAAGCATCAGATATGTTATGCAGGGATCCCAGATTCATTCCATAGGTGAGGCAGTATTTATCTGTGACTATTGATCCTTGACATTTGAGACTAAAAGCCATTTGTCTGTTACCAATGATTCTGAATCATTTAGAATTATTAGTCTGTCTCTTGCGGAAATTTTGGTAATTACTAATTAATTGTCCAGCATAGCCGGTTAAGTTGACTCACTGTTGAGATATAGCATTAAACATCCATTAAAACCAGAAAAAACAAACAAACAACGTCTATGATTGTTTTCAGCATGTGGCTTCCAACATCGTAGAACATGAGATCAGACATAAGGAGATTCTACAGAGTAGCTTTGATCTGCTCGGTGAACTAGTCAAATTCAATATTGAGGCTTTTAGAACCTTTGACAGTATTTTAACAACATCAGAAAAGGTAGGTCAACACAATATTCTGTTTTTATCTTGAGGTTTATTTATATTATATAGAAAAAAATCAAGAATTTCTCAATAAAACACCTAGACGACAAGATTACAAATGGTACAGGCTTAGTTTGACCCTAATTCTCCTCATGTTGAGTACTTGCCTGTCACAGCTTCCAAGAAAATTTGAATTTTTTTGTATGACGAAGCTTCCCACTTTGCTTAAGGAAGGTCAGTGGTTCCACTCAGGTGCTTGTTTGCCTCTGGAATAAAGCTAAATAAGTTTAAATCCTTATTCACTGGTAAAATTATAATTACTGTTAAAGAGTTGGTCTCATTTAAAACACAAAGAGTTGAAAGAATACTATTTTGGGTCATGGTTGTTTATATTGCTTGAATCGTTTAGATGGATTTGTTAAAGCCATAAAGTTAAATAATTCTACGAGTAAAACAGCAACCTTGATGATCACATTCATATTCATCGACCTGTAATAGAAGTATGATATATTCTGATGACTATCTTAATGATTGAAATATACTTGTATGTGAGATAAAAGGGGCAGCTACGCCTTTAAACCACTTGCCCTTATATGTTGTTGATTCAAAAGTTGGGAATTTTCCATGTGAAGGAGCTATCAAGCTGGGCTCTAGAACATCAGTGGTTTGACTCCATGGGTAAAAGTTTTCAGGAGTATTCCGGAAGTTCAGGATTTTTAGTCCCCTGAAAGCCTTCTATATCCTATGTAAAACTATAGAAGAAACTGCTTAATTCAGGATTTTCAGGATTTTTCAAACTTTTACAGACTTGGGTGCCCATTCATGCCTAAAGCACAAAGGGGCACCTGAAGAAATCCTACACGATTAAAGCTGAAAAGTCACCATATTACCTTTATAGTGTTGATGCAATAAAAAAAACCTACAATAGAAGTATGTCACATAATACAAGTATAATGTAGGAATTTTTTTTATATATTTCAGTTTGACAAGTTCATTACAACGGTGAACAGAAATCTTGTTGACTCAAACATGTTTATCCGCAGCCTGATCTTGTCACTGGAACATTTCCGTGCCGAAGATGAAGCCATTAGTGGTAAGTTGTCATAGCAACAAAGTTATCTCCCCTTTATTTTTGTTGGATACTTTATTTGTTTACAATATGAAATTAAATCAGTTTAGATACTTTTGTTTCTGTATTCCCTCTATTGTATGTAGTTTAGATTAAATTTAATTTAAATTAAATGTAATTTAATTGATTTTTAATAGAAATAGCAATGTCAATTAATATACATGTATGTATTGGAGTGAAGAATTACTTTGAGCCTATACATTAGTACAATAGTGCTCATTTTAATGATTTTCTTGAAGTTCAGATCTCTCAATTTAAATGTTTAAAAATTTCCTTTCTTCAAAATATTTATATATGATACTTCTTTGAATAAATTGTAGAGGGTTTTCATTTGATATTTAGAGGAAAATATACATTTGACAATCCTCTGAAATGAATGAGAGAAACTATTGTATGAAATCTGTTTTATTGTTAAAGTTAGTATTGAGTATGGATATTTTAGTATACAAAGGGAGAATCCCCATACTGTAATCATAAAGCAGTGTAATTTATAGGGAAGAGTGTGATCTGGAATGGTTTAATGTATAGAAAATATAGCTGATGCAGAATTGATGCTATTTTTGCATAGGTCTTCCCACTGCACAAATTATTAGATCTGTCATTGATAGTACTAATTTGATATATCAACTCTAAATATTTTCTGTCAATCACTTATCGATAACACATTGAAAAATTAGATAATTTTAACAGATGAATGAAATGTCTAGAAATTATGAAAATTCACCAAAAAACATGTACAGAAGCAGGTGTCCATGTCTGCAAGTGTGTTGTTATGTTAAGGACATATTTGGTAGCATGTGATAACAAAAAGAAATAGTCAGAAAAAAATCTTGCAAGGGAATTTATAAACGAGACACATCATAATTGAATGAACAGAAAATGTATCTTACTGAAATCATTTAAACATATATAAAAGTGAATTATTGACAAGTAATTACAAGCAATTATTGAATGATATATTGTCGATAATTGTTCTAATAGCAATATATCATGATATCAATATATCATCAATATCCCTGACTCTGAATCAATGACAGCTCTACAAATAAGTGAGAATATATTGAGGGTTTAGAGCAAAATTGATTCTATTACTATAGAAAGATCGACCAGTTTCGCTCTAAGCCATCGATATATTCAATGTTATAGTTTACTTACTGTAAAACTCATCTTGAGCATCAGCCATGTTTTTCTGTGTAGTAAACCTATTCGGACAGCATGATATTTTTGCTAAAATTTATGTGTTGATATCAGTAGGGTGCAACTTTGATCATTACTAGTGTTGTTAATACATATAATGACATTATCATTGCTTAAAGTTTTATATGATAAAATAGATATGTTTAAAAATACTACAACCCTACAATTAAAAAAAAAAAAATCCCATTTACGTGGTATTTAAATATTTGGCTGTTTGTCATGTCAAATTTGTTGAACTGCAAATTGTTGTTATAAAAAATGCTTGAAATAATGACTGAATTCACCAAAACTTATTTTTCTATGTGGTTTTAGGTCCGCCAAAAAACAACACTGGTAAATATATATTTGTTCTTTTACGCACCCATTTTCTCTGATTATAATCTGTATTAAGTTTGAGCAGGCCACTGAAGCTAAGCAGTGAAGCTCCAGGGGTCTGAAACACTTGTTTCTATACCTTAGCTAAATTCCCACTTATGACAAATGAAAATATGTCAGTGTAAAGGAGTTATTCAGGTAGCTTTGAAGGTTTGTGGTTTTACTCGAGATGCCCATATGAGTCTGAAAAAATGATGATAATGATATCACCAGAGGTGTTTTTCTTCCATAGCTGAAGCCTGGAAAGTTGCCATATGTCTTTCACATTGTGATCTTAGTAAAAAATATAAAAAATAATGGAAGGCTGGTGTATCTACACAAGTTTCAATTTGATAAATTGATGATAGAATCATGTTCCATTCTTATAATTTCTTATATGTGCAGGAACCAGTAAGTTGTGTAGTTTAGTTACATGTAACAAATATGTATGAATCCAACTGTTATTTATTTCTACCATATTTAGTTTATTCAATTTATATATATTTAATTATTGCAATGCTAAAAAAATGTAACAGTCAATAAATAGAGCAGTGTTGTATAATTGTTCGCATCTACATTTAAGTCAATATTGTAAGTTATGATTTGTCACAAAAATGAATGTTACCTTTGTAATTTTGGAAATTTTATTTTAGTAGCCATCTGAAAATTTCGAATTTTCACCCTTCATTCATTCCCAATCCAAAAAAGTCATTATTTTTCTTTTCCAATTTTAAAAAAGGTTCCCAACAGCAGCCCTTCCCCTAAAAAAAATAAAAAAAGAAAGAAATGACTCTGTTTCAAACTTCTGAGAAATATTGAACTGTTTTGATTTGCTATTTTAAAGACCTGAAAGGTTACATGTTCACAGACATGTTAAAAACAATGAAAATCATGTATAAGGAGTTTTACTAAAATCTCCCAAAATGCCTAATGATTTTTTCCCAAGAGGCCTTTTCCCAAAATACAAAAATACATGTTTTTGGTGTTTTAAGGAAATTTCAATACCATCCTCCCCTAACCCAGTTGGGAAAAAGGCCTTTTTTCTAGATTTGATTGGTGCAAAATAAATCTCTGACATTTGATTAACCCAAAGAAAAAAATAATCTCTTTGTTTTAGGAAGTATGATTATTGATACATAATATATAGTTGACACTAATTAAGAAATAATATATCCCAAACAGTGATTTTATTGCTCAATAACATCACTGTTTGAAGTTTGAATGCGAGGAATTATATCACGAGGGCGAGGCCCGAGTGATATAATGATGCGCATCCGAACGACAAACAGTGATGTTATCAAGCGATAAAATCACCGATTTGGATATATTATTTCGATTCTAACATGACATCAACAAATAAGTGCTGCCGTACCTGTTATTAAGCAAAATTGCGCCTGATTTGTTTCCATACTTATTTTAAGCGCGTCGGATTCTTTTAGTGGTTACATCGCATGTATAATGATTACGTCACATATCTAAATATAGAACGTCAACTGTGACTCTGTTGCATAATAACACACACTTTCGGTTCTTCTATATTCAATAGTGAAAAATGCAGGTCGTGTTGGAATGTATAATAATACCATTTTCACCATTTCACTAAAACTATTTTGCTAAAAAGAAACTCATTTTGTTGATTATTGTTTTGTTTTGTTTATTTTTTACATTATTATGATTGTTATTGTAAATGTTATATAGGTAACATGAAGTTTTAAACTATTTTTTAAGAAAAGTTGAAATATTTAGTGAGCAGGACTTGAATAGAATGAAGAAAAATTGAAATAAAAATGTACACAACTTCTTTATGTATTGTATATCTTATCAGTTCAAGTCATTGTACGCTTGTACTTAAAAAAAGTTCAATCAAAACTGCATGTTATTTTATAATCATTATTTGTTTGTTGGACCAACATTCATGTGTTTGTTGTATCTACATTCATGTGTTTGTTGGATCTACATTCATGTGTTTGTTGGATCTACTTATGCATTTTAGGATGAACATTCATGTGTTTGATGTATGAACATTCATGTATTTATTGGATTTATATCCATGAGATTGTTGAAATATATGAGTTTGTTAGATCCACATACAGTCATATTGTTGGATCTGCATTCATGTGTTTGTTAGATGTACAATAATGTATTTTTAGCTCGACTTTTCTATGAAAAGGGGAGCTATCCTACTCGCCCCGGCGTCGGCGTTGGCGTCACACCTTGGTTAAGTTTTTCGTACCACCCCACTTTATTTCAGAAGTATTACAAGTATGGCTTTGAAACTTACCATACTTGTTCACCATCATAACCTCCATCTACAGACAAGAGTACATAACTCTGTCAAGGTTTTTGACAGAATTATGGCCCTTTTTTGACTTAGAAAGTGTATTGAGCTTGGTTAAGTTTTTTGTACCACCTCACTTTATTTCAAAACCATTGGAGGTATTGCTTTGAAACTGACCATACTTGTTTACCATCACGACCTTCATCAACAGACAAGAGGACATAACTCTGTCAAGGTTTTTGACAGAATTATGCCCCTTTTTGACTTAGAAAATACATTGAATATGGGTAAAATCCACTTATTGCCTTAACCCTTTGAGATATTGCTTTGAAACTTTTAATGCTATTTCACATCATTACCCCCATCTGTACGCAAGAGAAGGTAACTCTGTCAAGGATTTGTTTTAAAAATTAAGGCCTTTTATCGACTTAGAATCTTGGTTAAGTTTTTAGTACCAGTCCACTTTTTGACTGAACTGTTTGAGATATTAATTTGAAAGTTGGAATACTTGTTTACAATCATGATTCCCAAACATGTCCAGGAGAAGGTAATTCTGTCAAAGATTTTATTTGAATTATGGCCCTTAACTCTTTTGACTTAAACATTTCAAACTTTGCTGCAGTGTTCAAGGGTATCACACAATTCAGTAAAATAATTCTTCACTAAATATCTTAATGCTCATGGCCATTGTTCACTTTAAAAATACAGAGATTCTTGTATTGCCTTTTACTGCAAAAACTTTTTTTATTGGCAAGCAATAAAAAAGTCGAGCGCGCTGTCTTACGGACAGCTCTTGTTGGTCTAAAATTTTATGTATTGTTAACCGATTATCAATAATCAAGCAAATATGCATATAATGTAAAGTTATTAGATTCACCAGATATAGTCTTAAATGATCAAGATTTGATTTTACCATATTTTCTCATTTATAAGACTAAATCATCTATAAGTCAGGGTCTTTATTTTATGGTCTTCATGAGTACTTTGATTGAACTGGCATATTTTTAATGTGATCAGACAATAATGCAAAGTGTATTGTATAAACTTCTACATTTAAGGTTAAAATTTAAAAAAAAGAAAAAAAGATCATCTCACAAATGAGAAAATATGGTAATATTATTATTGTATATTATTGAGGGCAAATGAGGGGTCAATGCAACATTGCCTCAACTCCTTGAACTTAAAGAAATAAGATATTATATGTGTGCAGAAAACATGCAGATATTATATTATTCAACTTGTAATAAATTGTTTATTCCCTTCACACACAAGAAAAGTATGAATGTTTGTTTGTTTATTTATAGATTATGTACGCAAGGATAGTAGATTATTGATGTACATTGGTGATTTCAGTCGACAACTTGATTATCTCCACAAGTTGATCACAATTATAGATGTTCAGAATCTTACACAGGTAATGTTTGTAAAATATGTCAAATATAGTCAAAAGCTGAATCTCTGACTGGTCAATTATGGTTATTATAGCATAAAATCGGCTATTTTCCCCTATTTTGCCCATGTTATAACGGGACCAAAACCATGTGTTAACATAGTCACGCGCTCTTGTTATAGCCCGGTTTCACCTATGCGCAATACATACAGGGCCCAATAAACAAACAAACAAAAAATGACGATTTGGCCTGTTTGCCGAAGAGTCATGCGCTCTTGTTATATTGAAATTTATTGATTCGAGGGCCTCAGTCGCATATTCAAGTAACTATGCCGGAAAAACGGCGTAAAGACATCGGTGCTAATCTTGGTTGTCGCCCTTTCTAAGAAACGGACAGTTGTCAATGTAAACAAATACAGTAGAATATACCTGTCATTCAGTTTAACACTCCGATTAACTTACAAAACTAGATAACACAAAATTAATATGAGAAAATGTTTTTTATTTATGTTAATGTTGATAAATGCTCTTTATATTTCTTTGATAGAATAATGCTTAGTGCCTGATTATTTTATAAACTTGTTTGCTTGAAAAAAAAACCGATTCTGATGTCACTGATCTTTTTTCTACCGTCAATCTGAAATCATTCTAAGAATTTCTGAGGGTCATGTTTTGTCTTGGGTAGAGGGTAGAGTAATGTAACTTTTTTTTTCTTGAGATAATAAATCTCCAAAGGTCAAGCTTTGTTAAATTAATTAAAATTCAAAATTTCGTTCGGTTCCGAGAATTTTCCAAGTTGTTGGCCCCGGAAAAATGAAACGCATACGTAAAACATAGAATTGGATAAATACCGTCCAAGCACAAGACTTTAATGTAATTGTGTTTTGTATAAACTATACATCACGAATCTGTTTGAAAATTTTATGCTATAATAGCGTCAACGCACGTTTATTTCGTGTTATAAAGTCTGCAGAGTCCCTCGGAACTGTTGGAGCCCTCGCCCTACCGGGCTCGGGCACCAACCGTTCCTCGGGACTCTGCAGACGTTATAACACGGAAAAACGTGCGTTAACCCTATATTAACACCTTTCAAGGTACAAAATATCGCATTAAAAAGTGATAGGTTGTGCTTGGGACAGAAAAAACATCTTTATATCTGAAATATTGTAGTATTTGATATTGTTACATGAGGCATGTAAACTTATGGAACAAAGGACCGAGTCAGAACTGTGACAACAGCATCGTTAAAATATGTTCATCATGCATCAAGTGATATTGCTTAAAGTGGAGTTTACTGTACTTAGTCAACAGTATAGAGACAGAAAGAGCCTGGTCAACAAATTGCACAGATATGCAGGCTGAGCTAGCTCTAAACTGGTAGCAAAGGCTTTGTATTGGCTATCAAAGAATGGTGGGTAGTTCCAAAATATAGGAGGGATACACATATTACAAAAAAAGGAGGTTTTTACTTTCATAAAAAAAGTTCAGTTTATTGATTTTATATGATAACCAGTTGCTTTTTAAATCCTGTATAACAAGAAAATATAACATGTTGAAATAATGTATTATTCCTTTTTCAGGAAAATGTAAGTTGTCTGAACACGACCCTGGTGTTCCTTATGTTTGCCAACCGGAAGAACCAGTTGGGACGTTACCTACAGGCATTAAAAGATGAGAAGGAAGGCATGTTGGAGGTGAATGGTTCAGTACAATTCATGACAAACTTTCGTGATCTGTTACTCTTCTGGCAAGACCACTATCTCCATAAAGATAAGGACTGTAGTGCCTTAGAAAAGGTCAGGATTACATTTATATGGGTGAAAGTTTTCAGGATTATTCCTGAAGTTCAGGATTTTCTCCTGAAAGCCTTCTATTTCCTATGTAAAACTATAGAAAATCTGCTTATTTCAGGATTTTCTGGATTTTTAAAATTTCCAACTTTCACCCATGCATTTACTTTTAATAGAAAAATGATAACATGTATTTAGGGTTTTAGAGAAGTTTCACATTTCTTTGGTGATAAAAATTTAGGAAGTGTAGAGAGCATCAGCTTTGTCAACCTACATAGCTCAATAGGGACAGCATCGGATTAGAAATTCAGTGGTTGTTGGTTTGATCTTCTGGCAGGGCGTAATTTCTCTGTCACAACTGATCTCAGACATTGAGTCTTATGGTCATTTGTCTCTCACTACTGATACAAAAATCATATGGCATTAGACTGTCACTTGCAGAGTAATAGGTAGTTACTGATATACTATCCAGGAAAGCCTGTAAGGTAGATAAAATGCCAATATATAACTAAAATGTGTTGAAATTGTTGTGTAAAAAAAAAAGAAGGAAAAAAAATGAAATTATTAATTTCTTGTCAAAAGGAGTGGTATTGATATTGTATTAAATGTTTATAATTTCAGAGTTCAAGAATAAGTTTTGATTACTGGAAACAGACAGTTGCTACACTTGTGTGTGACGATCAAGACAATGAGTGTGCTATTGTACATTACTGTGTACGACCGCCATGTGAACGGACTATTTAGTGTGTGTGTATGTAGATAAACAAAAAGTTAGTGTGTGTAAATAGGCTTGGATATTCACTGGATGTGGAGAACAGTGGTATGAAGATGAAATATAACGGCATCAAATGTCTTAAATGACTGCCTTGAAAAACAGAAATAGATTACTTGTGCTATATGATTCTTTATAAAGGTGATGCGGTGCCTAGGTGGGAAGGGAGGAAAGGATCGAGTTCTTGCTATGCATGACCAGTATATATAAAGGTCAAAGGTCAGTAGTGTACAAAAGGTACAAAACAAAACACAACAGATAGAAGAATGGAATATAAAGTTGGTAAAATGTCAGTGATTGTGGTTGTTGTGAAATGGTTTACTTGGAAACACAAAGCAAATATTTTATACTGTGATTATTAAAAAAAATTACTATAATAGTTTAACTATAAACTGATGTTATAAGAATTTTCAGCTCTGAACTGTCATAAATTTTATAGTCTAATAAGTTTTAATATAAACTAAAGTTCTTAAAGCTTTAAAGGGACTCCACAGAGGTTTTTTGACATTATGGGACTGAAAATATTTTTTCCAGATAAATGCACCATTTGATGTAGGTTTAGGCCATTATTTTTTGTGCAAAATTTCAGATTATTCGAGCACTTGGTTTTTCCAGAATAATTATTCAAATTGTAAAAAAATGACCCAAAATAAAAAGCGTTTAAATGCTTTTCACTCAAATTGGGCTGGAAAAGGCATAAAAATATGATTTTCAATTTATTTCAAAGTATATTTTTAACAATCTTTGCATATATTTCTGGTTAAAGTGCCCCAGCTCATTTATGTAAGAAATTCAAATGTTATGTTTTTAGGCTTTTAAACCTCAGTGGAGTCCCTTTAAACTGTTTGTTGCTTCTGAAGCTGTGAACTGTCATCTTGACTTGTTTTGTTACTTTTTTCCCATGCTTTCTTAAATTTTGATCCATAATGTTTTAGCTTCAGCTATGATGTGAAGTTCATTCATTGCTTTTATTGATCTATGAATTTGTAGCTCGATGTTTTGTTAATTTTTGTAAGTCATATTTTGTAGTTTCAATGCTAATTAAATTGTGACCTTTGGTCCTTGCTTCCCCTGTATTGAATGTTCTGTTTTAAATTTATTTGCCAAACAGTGTTCATTCTATGAGTGGCACGAACTTGTATATTTTATGAAATTAGTCCTAAAAGGTTTGTCTATGTGTGTATCTCATTGTATAACATGTAATACCAGACATGAAGCCTTGATGCTCAATTTAAAGGGAGGTAATTTTGAGATTTTAATATGAGTAAGTAAGTTTTGTTTGAATGTATTCATACTACTCAAACTTTAAGTCATTGTAAAGATGTGCGTTATTATGCTTGGTTGAGCATAATGGTGCTAGTCTGTTATAGTTCCTGGTTTTACAATATTTAACCTCTCCTGTCAAAAATGGCAGCCATTTTGGGGCCCAGTATACCATATATAAATTACAAAATAATAGAAGAATAAAAATACATTATAAACAAATGATTCAAGTGAATTGTCAAATTCTTTTACATAGGTTAAACTGTTGTTATAGCACAAATATGTTATAGCACAAATATCTAAAAGATTTTTTTATCAGTTTAGATGAAGATGATAGAATTGTGAGATTTTTTTTTATCTTTTCTGAAGTATGATTTATATTAAGAGTAACCCTGAAAATGGCAGCCAGGAGAGGTAATACATGCTATGTGAAAAGCATCTATTGTGTTACTCTTTTCATGTCATTTCTGTCAATGAGGCTTAAAAAAAGAATATCTTTATTTTATCCGCTTGAAAAAAATCATAATTCAGCAAATTTATTTTTATGAATGCCAGGCAATAAATAGTTCCTGATATATATTTCTTGATATAGATTTTCCTTTTTGTATTTATTAATTTTTAGTATTCTATTTTTTTTTTATTTTATTAAAGACAGAATGTCTGCCATTTGAACAAAATATAATCAAGTAGAATTTCAACAATACAGTCAAATTCATATTTGCCTTAAATAAATGTGTTCTTTTTTATGAGTGTGCCACCAAATACCAAGTAAAAGTGCTATGTTCATGGGGTTCTACTGTTCTATTTTGATATGATATAGACTTAATTTATTGTGATAAAGTAATTGTTCATTTTTTATAGCAAAGCAGTTATGTCTTGCTTGCATATATATATTTTGGTTAGGTGTAAACATAAAAAACAAAATATGAATTTACAAATTACCTTAGATAACTTACATGCATGCATGATGAAATTGAAAATTATATTAACATTGTCTTTATCTGATAATATTTTTTAACTAAGTTTTAACTTGTATTCTAAGATTTAACTATAGTATATAACTCATTTTCAAAAGACTCCACTGAGGTTTATTTGACATGACAGGACAGTTTGACCAATAACTTGTGTGCAAAATTTCAGATCATTCTCTCATCCAGGTTTTCCAGAACAATTATTCTAATTGTGAAAAATGACCCAAAATTAAAGGCATTGCTTATCACTAAAATCAGGCTAAGAATAGCACAAATAAACAATTTTCAGTTTATTTCCGAGTCTTTTTCTTAATTTTCTTTTGCATATTTTTCTGTATTAAGTACCCCCAGTTGATCTGTGCTAGAATTTAAAATTTATGTTTTTAGCCTTTTGGATCTCAGTGAACTGGCTCAACTTTATTCTTAGAAGTTATAGTATATGTGGTACTATGACCAGCACTGTGTTAGTGTGCCATAAACCAAACCAAACAATGAAAATTATTTAAATCTTGATATCTATAATAATACTTATGTCCCTACATCACGAGTATAGAGTCGGGCCAGTTTGTTTGTGCACACTATATCATGGGTATAGAGAGTATCTCTAGGCCAGTTTGTTTTCTTGCGCACTCTGACTAGAGAGTATGCGATCCATAGCATTATTTTAGCATTTTTACATTTGAAGACATTTTAAGAATTGAAGCCACACAAATATTGTGAAATAATGTTAGAAAAATTACTTCTACAGGTATGAGTGTAAGGGGTTCTTTAGTATAAAAGGTGATTAATTTGTTGCCAGACCAGCATTTGGAGTCTTGTGTAGTGCTAGTATCTGGGGGTGGTACTGGGTGTTTTTCTTCAACCAGTACTGTTTCTAGCATTTTCAGTGCAGACTTGATGAAAGGGAGGTAACTTTGACACCATGCTTAAATAGCTGAATGTGTTATTGTCTCCCTTGTCAAGTTAAGCTATATTACACAATATTTTAGAGAGTAAAATTGTTATTTATAATGATGATTATAACACTTGAGATATAACATTAACTCATTACTCTTTTTAATTTGTCATTTTCTCAATTAAGTTTTTCATAGTAAAAGATATTTTATAATAAATTTGACTTCTTGGTTTTCTATGGAGAGTTATGTCCCTTTCATATCATAGTTACTGGCCTACGCTGTGCTATTTTCAAAACTTACATATGTGAGTTTTGTCTCATTATATACATATATTATGTGTTTTTCTATGTGTGTACATAGTGTGTATATAGATATTAAAAAAACTTGTACATATTGTATATAAATTATTACCAAAAAATAATAAATCATGAGTGAAACATTATTGTTTACTGAGCAAAGTGCTGCAACTGTTTTTCCGAAAGTCTCAGTTGATTTGATTTATATTAAGTCTTCTTGTCTGTCAGCATATTGTGTACATGTATATATATTGAATGTGTTGATACATGAAATGATACAGCTCTGTATCTCTAAAAAAAATCAAGTTTTTATCTATTTCTACACATATTGTGTAAATTCATGTGTGCCATTTTTTTGGAATTTAATTTTTTATAGAAAATAAGAATATATTTGATGTGAAGACAAACAATCACTAGTGGCATTATCAAAGAATCTCATTTTGTTGTAAAATCTGATGTTTCAATGAATGAATAGAATATAAATATAATCATTAAAGTCATATCTAGTGTGAAATAAGGTCAACAAATTTGGTCACATAAAGTGTGAAACTAGGTCAAAGAATTAGGTCACATTAAGTGTGAAACTAGGTCAAAGAATAAGGTCATATCAAGTTTGAAACTAGGTAAAGGAATAAGGTCACATCAAGTGTGAAACTAGGTCAAAGAATTATGTAACATTAAGAGTTAAACTAGGTCAAATAATTAGGTCACATCTAGTGTTAAACTAGGTCCAAAAATTATGTCATGTTAAGTGTGAAACTTAATTACTTGAAGTGGAAAGAAAACTAGGTTATTAAAAAGTTAGGTCACATCAAATGTGAAACCAGGTTAGAAAATAGGTCAAAACTGGTGTGAAACTTGGTCTAAGAATTAGGTCACAACAAAAGGCAACCATAGTTAGTTGTTGCGAATGAGTCTTTAAAACTGAAGTTCACTATATATCTTTTTAATTCATTAAATTTAAATTTTACCACCTTAATGGCTGAGTTGTCCAATGAAATGGAAAAAGAGTTGTTATTGCCTTCTTAGAAGTTAAAAGAAATAAATTTCTTCAAAGACAATTTTAATTATTTTTTAACACAGGGAGTATGTAGTGAGGTAAGTAATATTTGAAGGAGGAATTGACCTACTATTAAATCCTATATTTAAACACATTTCATTATTTTCAATACATATTAACTGTAAGATTAATTAAAATGTGTAAAATTTCTCCTACGTTGTATTTGAGATGTATTGCTTAAATCTAAATTCCATAAATGATATTTAATTAATTCTGTATTTTTTCGTCTGAAAGGACTGGGAAGTTGTTATTTATCAAGGGTATGTTGCATGGAATTGAACTGACTTGCATGATTTAATGCATTGAATAGGTGATAAAATTACTGATTTTAATTGTTGGGTTGAAAATGAAAGCAGATGTTGTGTTGAAAATGAAAGCAGATGTTGTGTTGACTGTTTCATGAGCAATGTTGTGTTAATTATATAAACATGATTTGAATATGTTTACTACTACTAGCAGATGTTGAGTACTTGTTGAACATTGTTGTATATATGAGACCAAAAATGTTGTGTGAATGTTGAAAATTTTCTTGTAAATGAACTTGTATGTATGCATTTTGTGTGGGTTATGAAAATCATTGTGTTGACGAGTAAAAGGAAGTATGAATGTTGTGTTGTTGATGATGAAAATTGCTGTGTAATTGACTGAAAACATCTATAGATGTTGTGTGGATCTAAAAGTGTTGTATACATGACCAAAAATATCAGGTAGGTAATTTTGAAAAGTGCTACATGACATACTATCCATTTAATAGAAGATATATTGTAATGGAAAAATTTTGATTTCAAGTTTTTTCAATGAATTTTTTAATGGTTTTGAAAGTTCTTTTTAAGACCATATTAAATTTTTATGTGACAAAAGGATTGTAAATATTCAATATGATCAATTTCAGGTTTGTTATATAACTTATCAAGGCATGTCACAGGAAAATGTTAAATTATTGTCAGTTTTTACAGTAACCTGTTGGGACAAAAATGGTTTGCCATGCCAACGGTATAGAGTCAGGCCATTCTACACTTCCATGTAGTATGACCAGACTCTATACTGATTGCAGCCTAGTTTTTGCATTTTCATTTTCAAATGAGGGCAAATCAATTACATACATTTAGCAACTTAAATTTTATAAAATTATATATTCTAGTTTGCAAGAACAAACTTGTTCTGTGGCCCTACCAGACCAGTTTGTAAATACATGCAGTCTGATCTGTGTCTATGCTGTTGGTAGCTCAATTACACAATTATTTTGATATAATAAAACTGTCACAAAGGACAAAGTTTACAACTTCAGACCAGTCTATTTGTCAATTAGAACCATGTAAGGGTTTACATAATTTTATCTCCGCTATTTGTCATCTTTTGTAAGAACAAACTAGCTGTGAAGCCCTACCACTAATAAAGATCCAGGCCAGTTTGTAAATCCATGTAGACTGATCATCTATGCTGTTGGTAGCTCAATTATATTGATACATAAATAAAACTGTCACACAGAACAAAGTTTACAACTCAAGACATTTCCATTTTTCAAATTGAACAATGGTTAAGGTTATAATAAATTTATCTCCGCTATTGGTCATCTTTTGATGAACAACATAAATATGCATGTTTTAAATATTCCTTAAAATAATCTTGTCTTCTGACTGGTAGGTTGTATCTGTAAATAGTAAATGAACGAATGAATTGTTGTGTATGATTAATTAGATTAGAGAAAATGTTTCTATGTTGAGTTATATGAATGTATATGTGTACTGTAATTGGTAAAATTTTTATTTGAAGTTTATTTATAGTATAAATTTTGCAAGCTGCTTGCGGTAAAGATTGTATCATGTTGCTATCATGTTAAAGTCATCATGTTGAAATAATTGATGATCATGTTTTTGTTATTGTAATATATTTGATACATGAAAATTTTATCCTGAATTTGTCATTAAAAGTGTTCTACAATACATGGGTATGTAAATAAAAATGCATAAATTATATAAATTCTTCTTACTTTAAAACCTGTCTTTGAATTGGTTCAATGATAATTAGCGATTCATGATATTATAATAGTCGTTATAGAATAGAAGTTATGATATTGATGAGTCAGCAATCTGATCAATTATCCAATCAGGGGTGTGTTTCACTAACGTACTTACGTTATCGTAACTTGAGTTTGACCGTAAGTTTTTGCGTAAGCAGAACTTGCGTATTTATTTGCATTTCACTAAACTTTCTTAGCTATGCATTGGCGTAGGTTTAAGTTCCGCTCACTTATCGCTGGCGTAGATTGCAAGTTCTGTTTAGTGAAACGCAACAAACGTTAATTTACGTTTTGGGTAAATCCAAATTTACGTAAAAAGGTAGCTTAACTTACGGAATATTAGTGAAACGCTCGTCAGATTTCTGACTGGCTAGTAGGTAGGTCCATCCCTTTAGTGTTGTTGAGAGAGCATCAGGCGAGGTGAAATTTCTCCATGACAATAATTGATCTCGGAAATTGATTGTTTTGGTCATTTGTCTTCCATAGCTGATTCAGAAATAATATGGGATTTGTAGTTGCGGTCCATTGCAGAGAAAATTGTTATACATATAACTGGTTAGTTATCCAGGAACTCCTGTTAGATGGACCGAGATATGATTAAAATTTTCTTGAAATTGGCTAAAAAACAAACCATATTATGTTGAGCGGGCGATAGTTTCCTGCAAAATTGTCAATTTAACATTGGCCTTTTTGCATACAATTAACCAATTACTACATAAATTACCAACCCCTTGTCAAAAACTTGATACACACTTTTATAAGCATTTGAAATTATGCTGTATTACTGTTTTTCCAGCATATCATACAGGATTTTCTTCAAACATCAGTGTTAGAAACACCATCATCCTCTGGAATCGCCTACCCTCACAAGTTGTTGAGCAACCAACCTTGGAGGGATTCAAGTCGGCGCTGATGAAACACTACCACCAATTAGAGACATTACCGGTTTTTATATGCCCGAAATAATTTCAGGCATATTATGTTATACCCCCTGGCGTCCGTCTTGTCTGTCTATCCGTCCGTCTGTTAGCAATTTGGTTTCAGGAGCATAACTTAAGTTCCATTTGGCCCACAATATTCAAACTTCATAGGATGATTGTCCATATTGGGTAGAAGACACCTATTGATTTTTGGGTCAAAGGTCATGGTCACTATTACCTTTAAACTGAAAACAGTTTCCGGAGCATAACTTAAGTTCCGTTTGGCCCACCGTGTTCAAACTTCATAGGATGATTGTCCATATTGGGTAGACGACCCCTATTGATTTTGGGGGTCACAATGTCAAAGGTCAAGGTTACTAATACCTTAAAACTGAAAAAGTTTCCAGAGCATAACTTAAGGTCTATTTGGCCCACAATATTCAAACTTCATGGGATGATTGTCCATATTAAGTATAAGACCCCTATAGATTTTGAGGTCACAAGGTCAAAGGTCAAGGTCACTATAACTTTTAAACTGAAAACAGTTTCTGGAGCATAACTTATGTTCCATGTGGCCCACAATATTCACACTTCATAGGATGATTGTCCCTATTGGGTAGAAGACCCCTATTGATTTTGGGATCACAAGGTCAAAGGTCAAGGTCACTATTACTTTAAAACTAAAAAAAGATTCTTGAGCATAACTTAAGGTCTATTTGGCCCACAATATTCAAACTTCATAGGATAAATGTCCATATTGGGTAGAAGACCCCTATTGATTTTGGGGTCACAAGGACAAAGGTCAAGGTCACTATTACTTTAAAACTGGAAACAGTTTCCAGAGCATAACTTAAGTTCTATTTGGCCCATAGTGTTCAAATTCATAGGATGATTGTCCATATTGGGTAGAACACCCCTATTTATTTTGGGGTCACAAGGTCAAAGTTCAAGGTCGCTATTACCTCAAAACTGAAAACAGTTTCCAGAGCATAACTTAAGTTCCATTTGGCCCACAATATTTAAACTTTATAGGTGGATTGCTATTTGAAGGAGGTAATACTTTATTTAATTTATGTAATGTCTTACAAATGCTTCATCCTTACATAAAAAACACTTTCGGGCATATAATGCTCCGCCTAGCGATGCTCTTGTTAAAAGATGTAAATAGACTACTTTTTATTGTAAAGCGGAACCCATTTGCTGCGCATGTACATACATAGTAGATGATGATGATGATGACTATTTTAGTGAAAACAGCAGAAAAAATACTATGACCCATGATCCTACGAAGTTTGTAAACCACATCGCCATAGAAATCAGGCTTGCTAATACATATTCGTAAAAAAGTTTTAAATTACAATTAAATTTTAAAACTAAATCTGAATAACGATGGTTAAACTTAGTAAAATATTTCCGCAATTTATGATGGCAATACCCTTGTGAAAGAAGTTAAGAACTTTTTAAGAAGTGCACGCCCCAGCAAATCTAATTAATTGAGAAATATATACTTCATATGATGCAGCATGAGGTACATCTCCATCTAGATGTGGAAATTTAACAACATCAAAGTCAAAATCATCTCTTTTATCATAGATTTTAGGTACTGTAGTATTGTTAATGATACTTAAATCTTAAAAAGATGTAATAATGTCTGTAGAGTTAGTCTTATTCAATTTAAGTTTACTGGGATATATTTAAGTAACCCTGTGATCGAAATTAGGATTATTCATGTTAACCCTTCCCCCATGAGCATATTGTGAAAAATTGCCATTTTCACCGAAAAGCCTCCTCTTAAAAGTTCAAACTGCTATGAAATTATGAAAAATGCTTCAATACTAATCAAACTTGGCACAAATGTTGACTGGACCATTGCCTTTGTAACGACATGCTCAGTCTTAAATTTCCTGTTACCATGGCAACGAGGGGACATCTCAAAATTGCCAAAAATCACTATTTTGCCTCGATTTTTTCCATCAAAATTTATTTCAAAGTGCTGCAACTTCTCAAGGGATTGAGATAGAGTCAAAGGCTTTTCAGCGTTGGTTACACATTACTTTACGATCAACCTGGGGTCATTTTAAGCCTCTCACAAGTCCAAAATTTTCTTGGCGATGAGGGGGACTCCGCCCCCCCTTCAAACCCCCCAAACAGAAGTGGGCACATCGCGTTGTTTCGCGTATATATGAGGTAAAGGGTTAAAGATATCATCTAGGTAGCGGGAAGAGTTATTTAATGCATTAAATGCATGTATAATTTCCTGATGTGATGTAGGGGAATGACTTAGCGTAAAATCCCTCTCATATCAGTATAGAAATAAATCAGCTATCACTGGTGCACAATTAGTGCACACTTGAAACCGCGTTTAATCTACTTTGATAAAAGCAGTCAATCATCTGTAAGTTAACTTTAATAAAACATACAACTGTATTTATTACACACAATATATATTTCAAAAATAAAATATGGGAAATTGCTTTTACAAGATTTTAATCTTTCCGGAAAAAGGGACCTCCAGGTCGGGTGGTTTCAAGTCACCGTGTTCACATAAATATGATTAAAACCAGTCATCATAAATCAACATGGGTTATGTTCGTCACTGAATCCCTTAATGAAAATAATTCACACACGGTTATGCAGCTCAAAGATGATATTCACAAATAAAAGGAAGCTCAATGTCGCACTTAGCGTCATTCCATGTCCCTTCACGCTCTACAATGAGACAATCTTCTTCTCCCATATTGTTTGGTTCCCCTTCCCTCCAGTCATTAATTGAATTATCCAGCGGCACAAGGTTATCATTCTGAATATCTTCATCGCCATCTTCCCATCGCCATATTGTTTCTTCTTCAATGTCACGACCTCCGAGAAATACATTTCCAGTCGCTTGTACAAGCACAATTTTCTTCCATACGAACTTTGCTTCTTCTGGATCTCCAAGAGCCGTTAGATGCGCACCAATGTCTCTGCACTGTCGCTTAGCAACAGTCCAGTTTGCTACATCTGTATATATTTTATAACAGGCGCTTTTCCAGCGTAGCCATCCGTCGATGCATTGCGTCATTTTATAAGTCTGCCAAGTGTTATGATGCGGCTGTATGGTATCTTCTGCTGAAGTGCTGTTCATTGTCAATAAAAGCCTGCAAGTCTTTTCATCGGAATTGAAACTAGAAGCCTTACAGCCGTGAAGCTGTGCGGTAGTCTCCAGGCATTTTCTAGCACAAGCCAACATATTAGGCTCATGTGTTTTATTCAAATATTGTCCTCTAGTTGCACCAATATACACAAATCCTTTTGACTCGCACGAATATTCTGGTACACCAATGGCGAACAACATGTACAATACATCAAACATTAATTCCCTGTTATGAGAAACAACAATCATGATGTTTCTTTTTGTAATACAATCTGTAGATTTATTTCGAACTGTTCAGACTTTAAAATTATCTGAGCGTGAATCTTTGCTTATTGTGTTGAGACTTTATAGTACACGTAGTTGTTCTACATACAGTGCAAAACGAAAATTTTGCTCACGCTAATCTGAACTAGTTTATTGAGCCTAAATGTACGGAATAAAACAAACGTGTTCATTCTTAGGATTCTGCTAATGGATATAGGACGTGATATTTTACATCGATGATTACGTAGATATGCCAGTTGTATCTACAATGTATTAACCCTTAACGTGGTCAAATTGCGCATATTTAGACCAGTACATTCAGAGTTAAATTTTCAATATATAAAATTAAAAAAAAATAGGGCAATGAACAATACTTAGCTGCAATTGATCGCGGCTGCAGCAGGCCAGGTCAGTTTGACCTTGAATCGGTCAATTCTCTTGCCTATTCAACAAAAGTTACGGTTAGCATGTTATGGCCATCATATCGTTTAATACAATGTTGTTAGATTTGTTTGTTTGTTGTTGTTGTTTTTTATATTATTATTGTTGTTTCAAAGGGAACGTTAAAAGTGTGCAAATATATGAAAGTTTATATTGACAATACTTTCCTTGGTAAAAAAACAACAACAAAAAACTGTTTAAATACAATTGCTCATTACTTGGTTATATGCTTTTAATAAAATGGTAACTTTTCTGTTACCATTCTAAAATGATTATTCTAAAGGATAAATTAAATCTATTTTGTGTGTTTTATTTGCTTTAAAATAATTTATCAATCTGACAAAATACAATTTAACGGTACACTGATGTTTAAATTTCCTTTGTTTTTTAATTACTTTAATTAACACCACCGTCATTATCGACCCCGTCACTGTCGCCCTAATAAACCTATAATTAAGAATCGCCAAAATGTGACGCATTGCAAATCTGTTGGAGTTTAGATTATCTAAAATTGTACAGCTATTTTTCCGAGTGTAAAACTTATTTCAGAACTTCTCTACACCGAAGAGATATTTTTTATGGAAACTATACATTTATTTAATAGTGTTTCTCTTTTCTTTGGTTTTTATTTGAATAACCAACAACCATTTACGTCTGAAACAATGAAAAAGATCGACGTTTATTCCAGTGTCAATATTAAATACTAAAAGCATGAAATCCTCATTGTTAATTCGTCAAACCGGAAGTGCATCTTGTAAAAATCAATACAAACTATACGTGATGATAATTGACAAGCTTTTTACAAAACAATTCAATCCAGATTTTGTATTTTCAGTTTGTGTTGATAATGACTTTCACAAGATTATTTTAAACATATAATCAAAATAATGCATTTATTTTTCAAAACTCTGTCCGTCATCGTAAAGCAGACATGTAAAATTTTACCATTTTATGTTTAAATGTTGAATGCTGCTTAAAGCCGGTGTAGGGGCGTGGACAGTAACTTGCACTTTCCAGTACCGTTCATAAACAGACTCAATCAAACCGAGACTGCAAAATTTTTAATTTTGCCATGTTGGGCTTTCTTTAGGGATTCTGTTTCTCTCTATTTTATTACAAAAGTTTTAAATGCCATGTTTTATAAAAGAAATAAAGGGAGCGAGATGCCTGGCATTGTTGCTAGGGGATTCCTTTGTTGTTTACTCAATATGATAACAAGTAAAAATGGTTTCCTGCGGGGAACATTTTTCATGATATAAAGATATTTCATTTAACTATTTTCAACACCGTTTTGGCAGAGGGGAATAAATAAACGTTTATATCGGGAATATAGTTGACAATAATCGATCAATATAGAAGGTCTTTCAAAACTGGTGACCGTTGATGACCGGAGAAGGTCGAACATAAAACAATTATTTCTTTTTAAGAAAATGATTAAATAGGCCTACCATATTATGAATAATTAAAAGCAAAAAAAATAATAAAGTAAACACACAAGTTTACGCAGAAAATATCTCTATTTATTATGGCAGATGCCACTACGAATATTTTAATTTTGTAGATTTTCAGTATAAACAATTTATTGTTTGTAAAATTTGAGATACATATATTAAAGAAACAATGATAATTTTCAAATTAATCATTCAAGTTTTTCCACCTTAAACGGTAAAATAATTATAGAAAATTAGAAATATCACGTAATAGGTTTTTGTTCTTAATTAGGTTTAATTCTGACTAATTCCCTCGAGGTATATCCGTAAAGTAATGACAAACGGTATTTAGCCAGGTTATCGAAAAGGTCAATTAACCAATCGTGTACGGTTTACAGATCACATGCTCCTCCATGCACCGAAAACTGGTCACGTGCTCCTCCATGCCTCAAAAGTAAAACGCGTACCAATACCCTGCGGTCTCCGGACCGCAGGGAATAAAGTTATCTTCTGTAATAGATATATCAAAATGGACATCATCATGGTACTGTGCTTTTTTAGTTAGCATCGTTCAGTTATGCCTACACCGGGTGAAAGGTGCCAAGGTAATACACCAGTTCCCCAGGTGGTATTTATTCTTTCCTGCTGTCAGTAGTCAAACATACTTTACATGCCCTTCATATTTGCAATCTACTATGCTCGTATTAGGGATAAATGTAATGAATTCCGACGTATTCAATGATTGTCTCAGTCCTAATCCAGCATGCAAATTGTCACAGGGGATGCCGAATTTTGTTTTATTTCAATACCAGTGAGAAGACAGTCTTTTACAAATATCAGAGCACTTTTTCGGCTTTGTAAAGAGAAGCTATTTTTGGAGTAAAAAAAAAAAATAAGTGACTCTCAAAATAACTGCTTATTCCATGTGCAAAATTACATATAATGGTATTTTGTTTTGTATCTAGTTTTCTGTATTCAGTTTGATCAGTTGTGTTTTGTTTTTGTTGTTGTTTTATTAAATGAACATGCATCTGCTTGAAATTGGAAGTAAAACTAGGTTTTGAGTTGTGTTATTTATGACACATAGATGTTTGAAAATACAGCAACTCTTTTTTTCCTTATCTTAAACTTTAAAATGATTTTCTTTTGTTTTGCTGAGTTTTAACTTTTAAGTCACACCGACTCTGTAAAGGCTTATGGCACCTTCCATTTTTTTTCTGGAAAAATAATCATCGGAGCAAGACCTTCAGTAATCTATCTCACACAAAATAAAATCCCTAAGAAGAAAGTCGAACCCGAGTGGCTTTTAGTCAACAGCACAAATGTAAAATTACTCAATGCTTATTTACATCATTTTTTCGTCCTAAAGAAACAGAAGTAAATTTTCCGTAGTTTCGTAGGAAGGGCCCCGAAATGCTGCTTAAACTTTAAACCCAACGGTTTACTAGCACAATGTAAATATATTTGATTATTTTAGGAATGCAATATAATATCCTTTATGTAACTGTTATATGAAATAACTTGGCAAAATAATTCTCTTGAGAAGTTTAAAGATCAAGGCATTACTCAAAGATTATAAACCAAGCTTGGAGTATTTTGTCTTCAAGGGGCATAGATCATAGAATGAATTCCCATACACATGCCAATGGAAAGGTTCAATCTACTATGCTCGTATTAGGGATAAATGTAATGAATTCCGACGTATTCAATGATTGTCTCAGTCCTAATCCAGCATGCAAATTGTCACAGAGGATGCCGAATTTTGTTTTATTTCAGTACCAGTGAGAAGACAGTCTTTTACAAATATCAGAGCACTTTTTCGGCTTTGTAAAGAGAAGCTATTTTTGGAGTAAAAAAAAGTGACTCTCAAAATAACTGCTTATTCCATGTGCAAAATTACATATAATGGTATTTTGTTTTGTATCTAGTTTTCTGTTTTCAGTTTGTGTTTTGTGTTTTGTTGTTGTTTTATTAAATGAACATGCATCTGCTTGAAATTGGAAGTAAAACTAGGTTATGAGTTGTGTTATATATATGACACATAGATGTTTGAAAATACAGCAACTCTTTTTTTCCTTATTTTAAACTTTAAAATGATTTTCTTTTTTTTTTTGCTGAGTTTTTACTTTTCAGTCACACCGACTCTGTAAAGGCTTATGACACCTTCCATTTTTTAGCTCGACTTTTTTGTTGTTTTTTTTTTAAAAATAGAGGTATTGTTATAGTCAGGTCGGCGTTGCCGTTGCCGTTCTCGTCCGCAAACTTGTACCTGGATCATAACCTTTTTTATTTCTTGGTGTATTGTCTTTCTACTTGGCCACAACAACCCTTGGGACAAGACCTTTCAGTAGACCACACTAACCATGACCTTCATCCATAAATGACCTTGACCTTCAAGGTTTAATGTCCAATTTTTGCTTGTTCATGCTGTTATTGGCTGTAACTTTGTTATTTTTGAATGGATTGTCTTCAAACTTGAACATAATAATCTTCAAGGATATCCCTTAAAAATAACCAGCCAGACCTTGACCCTCACTCATAAATGACCTTGACTTTGAAGGTCAAATTATTGAAATTTTCATTTTTTTGGCTATTATTGGCTGTAACTTTGTTATTTTTGAATGGATTGTCTTCAAACTTGAACATAATTATCTTCAGGGATATCCCTTAAAAATAACTAGACAGACCATGACCTTCACTCATAAATGACCTTGACTTTGAAGGTCAAATTATTGAAATATTCATTTTTTTGGGCTATTATTGGCTGTAACTTTGTTATTTTTGAATGGATTGTCTTGAAACTTGAACATAATAATCTTCAAAGATAACTGTTAAAAATATACCGAAAGACCTTGACCTTCACTCATTAATGACATTGTCTTTGAAGGTCAAATTATTGAAATTTTCATTATTTTGGCGGTAACTGACTGTAGCTTTGCTATTATTGAAGGGATCAACTTGATATTATAACAGAACATTCTTAAGGACAAGACCTTGTTGTTTATCAAACCCAGATTTGCTTGGGCTCTTTAATGACCTTGACCTTGAAGGTTAAATTAGTGAATTTTCTCAGATTTGTGCATTAAATGACCAGAATTATATATTTATTGATGTGTGTGTGTGTATATATATATACATACATATCATCATCATCATCATCTTCATCATCAACATCAACAACAACATGTTTCTATTTATAGAATTGCGTCATTGTTTCTATTTTCAGAAATTGCGTCATTGTTTCTGTTTTTAGAAATTGCGTCATTGTTTCTATTTTTAGAAATTGCGTCATTGTTTCTATTTTAAAAATTGCGTCATTGTTTCTATTTTTAGAAATTGCGTCATTGTTTCTTTTTTTAGAAATTGCGTCATTGTTGCTATTTATAGAAATTGCGTCATTGTTTCTATTTTTAGAAATTTCGTCATTGTTTCTCTTTTTAGAAATTGCGTCATTGTTTCTATTTTTAGAAATTGCGTCATTGTTTCTATTTTTAGAAATCGTGTCATTGTTTATATTTTTAGAAATTGCGTCATTGTTTCTATTTTTAGAATTTGCGTCATTGTTTCTATTTATAGAAATTGCGTCATTGTTGCTATTTATAGAAATTGCGTCATTGTTGCTATTTTTAGAAATTGTGTCATTGTTTCTATTTTTAGAAATTGCATCATTGTTTCTATTTTTAGAAATTGCGTCATTGTTTCTATTTTAAAAATTGCGTCATTGTTTCTATTTTTAGAAATTGCGTCATTGTTTCTTTTTTTAGAAATTGCGTCATTGTTGCTATTTATAGAAATTGCGTCATTGTTTCTATTTTTAGAAATTGCGTCATTGTTTTTATTTTTAGAAATCGTGTCATTGTTTATATTTTTAGAAATTGCGTCATTGTTTCTATTTTTAGAATTTGCGTCATTGTTTCTATTTATAGAAATTGCGTCATTGTTGCTATTTATAGAAATTGCGTCATTGTTGCTATTTTTAGAAATTGCGTCATTGTTTCTATTTTTAGAAATTGCGTCAATGTTGCTGTTTATAGAAATTGCGTCATTGTTTTTATTTTTAGAAATTGCGTCATTGTTTCTATCTTTAGAAATTGCGTCAATGTTTCTATTTTTAGAAATTGCATCATGTTGCTATTTTTAGAAATTGCGTCATGTTGCTATTTTAAAAAATTGCCTTATGTTTCTATTCATATATATATACAAAATATATAAACAAAACTATTGTGACAAGACAGACCAACTAAATTTATAAAAAGGAAACATTAAGATATGTTCAAACCTTTGTATGTTTGCGTTTAGAAAAAGTAAAAAGTCGAGCGTTGCCCCCGCCGGGCGGTGGCTCTTGTTTTTTCTGGAAAAATAATCATCGGAGCAAGACCTTCAGTAATCTATCTCACACAAAATAAAATCCCTAAGAAGAAAGTCGAACCCGAGTGGCTTTTAGTCAACAGCACAAATGTAAAATTACTCAATGCTTATTTACACCATTTTTTCGTCCTAAAGGAACAGAAGTAAATTTTCCGTAGTTTCGTAGGAAGGGCCCCGAAATGCTGCTTAAACTTTAAACCCAACGGTTTACTAGCACAATGTAAATATATTTGATTATTTTAGGAATGCAATAAAATATCCTTTATGTAACTGTTATATGAAATAACTTGCCAAAATAATTTCCTTGAGAAGTTTAAAGATCAAGGCATTACTCAAAGATTATAAACCAAGCTTGGAGTATTTTGTCTTCAAGGGGCATAGATAATAGAATGAATTCCCATACACATGCCAATGGAAAGGTTCAATCAAGTAGATGACACAAATTGTACATGTATTATCCGCGCATAAAAAATCCAATTTTGAACCTTTCACATGTATGCGTTACTTTGATTTTGTGCCAACACACCGTTTCATGATGGTGTAAATATAATATAATTTTAATATATCTATCAAGTTAACACAACCAAAAAACTATTTCGCAGGAACAAGGCGATTCTTTATGAACACCTCTAGTGACTAATAGATATAAGGTTATCAGTGAAATACACTTTATTAAAAGTTTTTTTTTATACAACTAACGTTTTTATCTGTCACTTTTTATTATATTTATGCATTTGAAGGAATCGAAATTAATTATCCTAAATTATTCAGATACAAAACCAATTGTGCATACATTTATGAGAAATAATAACAAAATGAAATAATAACGTGCAGGATGTGTTTTGACATCATATCATAAAACAATCTTAATATTCTGTATGAGTGTAATAATAAAATTGATCATCAATGCAGATGAAAATGTTTATAAAATACCCTGAAATTGATGGCTACAGCTTTATTGTAGTTGATCCAATTGTCAGGGTTTGACCAGTTTTTACATATTCAAAGATATGTTTACGATGGGAACAGTCATGTTACTGTGTTGCGTGTATATATATCTCCCCAGGGCATACGCGTCACCAGCATCTTTTTGCGTTTTGAAATATTTATATATGCATCTTCATCCACTTCCGATCCGTTGAACGTAACATGAACAATATTTTGAAGATCACAAAGGCTGTCAACAAACATTTGCACTGTTTCAATGTTCATATGGACCCAGTAAAAGCCAATTACTTCGAGATTCTTCATACTTGAATCGACAGTTATAGACCTACTGGCAATATCAACATAAGATAGCATCAACTTTTCCAGCTGGTGAAGCGTGTGCAAAACAGAATTTATTTCCCTTGTAAATAAAAACCTGTTTTCGTGAACACTTGACAGATCCAGTTCAGTCAGACATCTAGCGTTTAACAACATACTAAAATGCAAGATGCTATGAGGATTTACATGCAGACATTTTAGATTTTCAGTGTTGATGTTAGAAATGATTACATTATGACAATCAATGTCAAGTTTCTTCAGATCGTTGTGCCTACCAAGGTCAAGCATATGACCTTCGCACTTTTTCATCGTACAAGTTAAATCGGACAACCTTATAACCTTTAGAGGTGATGTATGTATGAATGACGACAATTGTTCCATACAATCATGCGGTAACTCGTCAAGGTCAGCATCAATATACTGAAGACGGGTAAGGCCTAATACCCATCTAAATAACTCCAGATCAAAATATTCAAAGTTCCAAAAACTAATCACGCTGTCTTTGACTATATGGTGCAATGTATTAATGTTAGTATCATAATCAACAGTTACATCACACATATGTATCATCACCTGTTCATTTAAGTCTCCCTCTTGTAAGCAATCAGATATAAGATGCTCAAATTGGTATATCAGAGTACAGTAACTATCCTCGAAGCGCGAGTCCCTGTCCCTTATCATATCATCATCAATGCTTGCGATATAGCAAATGACTTCTGTAATATCTTTAATAGAACCGGGTGACATTCCACATACCATTTTCAACACGTTTGATAACTGCAATATAGCTGCAACTGACTCGAAATCTTTAAGCAAGTCATGAAATACCTTCGCTGTAGTTTTGCTTTGATTCATCCCTGATGCAGTATTATGCACTCTGTGGCATTGGCTGACTAAATAAAGAGCTGCAAAGAACTCCAGGTAAGATTTATGGATGAATATCAACGTAGTTCTCTCTCTTGTAGGATTAAAGCATTTTTCTTCAACAACAATGCCTAGGTTTATTACCTTCTGTATTGATTTTGTTGATAAACCATTCTCCTTTAGAAATACCCGACTGAAAGTACTTGTTCTTGACTCAACCAATAATTTGAACGCAACACTTCCAATTTGAAGCAGAAATTGTTTGTTTTCCTCACATCTTGGAAATCTGTGTAAAAGATCGGGCAGTACTGTAGTATCGGTGAGGGGCATATCTTGCAAACATGCATCCCCTGTTTTATCCTCTGACCAAGCAAGCATGATGTTCAAAAGATGACTGTATATATCAGTTGAAGATCTTCCAATATCATTCTCCATACAGAATAACCATACAAGTTGTTGTAAAAGCAGAGGATTATTTTCTAATTTTTCAATTTCGCTCAATCTAATTTTGTCTAAAAATGATTTACATGATTGATCAGTTTGGTCATTTTGTGCAAGGTATTTTCTTACGAACATTTTCATATGTTTTACATTTATTCCTAACAAGTCGATTCTCTGGTCACATTCAGAAGATTTCATGTTGATAATACCCTTTGCTGAAGGCCGAGACAATGTTATGATTCTTGCAGCATGTAGTTGGTTTCTACTGGGTAACCCGTAACTTTCATGTGGTAATAAACCTTTAGGTTCTGGAGGAATCCATTCATCCAAACTGTCAGCAATGACAAGGCAGCGTTCAGATTCTGTGGCAAATATTCTATCTATGATTTCTGATGTTGAAAGATCGGTAGATGTGGCAAATGATTTTATCATGTCGATGAAACTCCCATAACCAGACATTCGTTCTAATGGTACGAAGAAGAGAAACTCAAACTGTTTGATTTCTTTCATATTTTCAATGTTAGTTTTAGAAAAAACTTCATTATAATCCCCTTCGACGTGCATTCCGATTGAAGGTATTGTTTCACCATTTTCACTGCTATCATATTCATCAGATGGCATAGACTCATTTTTATCTACTGTCTTTAAGGAACAATTTTCATACATAATTTCATCATCAACACTACCATCTTTTTTGTCCTGTTGATGGATGTTAGGACTGTTACCAGACCTTTGCCGTTCATTCACAAGTATGCCTAAACACCAATTCTGAATCATCATTTTGCAAAAGGCACTTTTTCCAGTACCTACGTTGCCTACAATATATATATTTCTATGTTTTTTATCATTTGTTTGTAGTATATCTCGATAATGACTTACGGGCCTTGAAATGTTTTGTGAATCTCTTGTCCGATGTAAGTTATGTGTCTTGTCCCCTTTCTTCTTGTCTTCCATGGTCATGTTTGGAAATACGTACATGTCTTCAATATTCAAGTCATTTTCTTGTGATTTCAAAGGTGAAATTGATGTCTTTATGTAATGAGTTTGGTAAAGGTGGACTAATCTTTTCTGAAGTGCTGTTAATACAAAAATATATAATTTTACAATGGTAAAGTTTATATAGAGGATATTTGTTTAGTTCAGTGTAAGATCGGAATATATTTCACCGAGTGAGCACCAAAAGGAATATTTCACGAGTGGCGCAGCCACGAGTGAAATATGAACTTTTGGTGTTCACAAGGTGAAATATATTTCAATCTTACACTAAACTAAACAAACTTTCTTTTTATTACATGCAAAGAAACGTTTTAAAAAGACATTTAACCTAATACGGAATGAAAAGCGCGCCAAATAATAATACAACGTGACGTCATTTACGACGTCACGTCATTAAGCTGGTACCCAGTACTGTGCACGCTGGTATTTCACTGAAACAACGTAAGGGGCTTAAATTCAAAACAGTGAAATTATCAAAGTGGTAATTTCACTGTTTCAAACAGTGAAATTACCAGTTTTATATCACTGATATAGTTCTATAAACCACCGAAAAGCATGTAATTCGTACGATTGAAAAATATCAAAATAATTAAACCAGTTCAAATAACTATTAAAATAACTGTTGAAAATAACTGTTAATATATTTTAAAGATCACGTGCAAAAGTTGCACACATAGATTGTGTACATACATATTTTTTGAAGTAACAAAAACAATGAGCCTTAAAAACTAACAGAAATGTACAATACCTAGTTTTGCCTGTACGAAGTCTAATTGATTTCGATGTTTAACACGCAAGTTTTCAAATTTGTGAAATTCAGTTTCTATCGCTGTCAGTCGCTGAAAGTAAAATAGATGAAATATTGGGACAAGATACAATAGAAGTAGATATTTACACTTGTATCATGCCACAAAAAGACGTATAACTTTAAATCTCGTTGCTGATGACGAGTGATTTGTTAGCATTTGTAGTAAATATTTCACGGGTTTGTTTCCATCATAATAATAGCAGCATTCCTAATAACAGTTTTATACTTTTTTTTTACAAAATAAATTAAAGTGGTTACGAATAGCTTATTGTATTTTATTGCAAAGAAATGTAACTCAAGGCTATCCAACTTACTGATTCAAGGCGTTCGACTCGATCGTAGAGGATCTTATCCGTTTTTTCACGTTCTTCTTTCAAAAAGTCTTGAACAACTGTTCTCGTCGTATCTTTAATTGTTTCTATCTGTTTTGCACCACTCGCACCAATATCGTCCTTTGCCTCTTGAATGGTACGGGTTAATTCCTCGCATTTTTCAGAAAGAATGTTAAAAGATTGTTTGAATACTTCTGCCTCATCATTAGTAGTAATAATAAACGTCTTTTCCTTTAACTTGAGAATAAGAAAATACAAAATTAATTGATTAAGTACTGAGTGGCAATCATTAAAGATTATCTCTTACCCAAGCAGAACTATTGTGGAGTATGGTCTGAGCAGAAATATTGTTTAAAGAAATCGAGTATAGCAACGCTCAACGTGCGAGAGACGACAAACATTACGCGATCTCTGGCCATTGTTTGCTGACATGTGTTTAAAATAAGACAAACTGCTCTTGACTCTTTTTTTACGTATTGCTTTTTATCAATATCATATAATATCGATTTACATTAAAAGGAACTCTCTCTATCCTGCCAATATGAGTTATAACGACAAAAAGTCCTTAACATTCTCCTTTTTATACAAAACATGACGTCTGAATGTGTATGTTAATACAATAGTTATTTAACAAAGTCGGACGGAAGTGGGTGTTGAGGAGGATAATTAGCTTTTTTTCTTAGTGTCACTATCCTACTATTGTAATCATGACTTATACTAGATCTTGCTTAAAGATCAATCAAATTACATCGACTATATTATGCTTTACACTTTTCTAAAAAATGATCATCCAAGATATAAGGGCTTCCAAAACAATAACATCTGATACATGCTTATTGATAAAACCAAACATAATCTTAGTGACTAATCATGCTTTGTATCATACGATACTTTTGGCAAGTACAATAGAGTATCTTTAGATTACCTGATTTAAATTAGCGATCGCTTCTTTTGCATCACACCTTGCTCCCAGTTCCTCACTGTCCTCAAGTATTCTTATCATATCATCTATAATATCATTCAGTTCAGATTCATCAAGCTCCATGTTTGCAGAATGGCATAGATTATTTCTTCCGTGCAGTGTCTAAATATAAGAGTACAATACTAGTACAAAAATTTCCAACAATGAAAAACAACAATCACACTAGTTCGAACTTCATTAATTTTAAAGTACGTTTGTTTTATTTCGAGTTTTGTCATAATTTAATAAGAACAGCTTGAGTACAATTTTCATGTCTTAAGATTAAGATTATATTAGTACCAGAGATAGGGACTATTTATTTCAAATTCGTGTCCAAAAGAATAATATGCATGTATACAACTATTATTCAGTTATCTGTTGTATCGTGACGTTTCCTTCCAAATAATTTAAATGTCTTATATAGTGTAATGTTTGGCATTACCATGCTTGTTTGTAACATGCTACCTCATTTACTTATTACGCAGGTAAGAGAGGTGTTACAATATTTACCTATAACAATATATCGTTTGAAAAAAGTTAACTATATAGTATGTAGCATTATATATTGTAGTCGTCCCAAATGTTGTAAGATTAGCTCTTTACAAATCATACACATGAGCTAAAGATGTTAACATAATTTACCTTTTCAAGCATCCCGCTGCTGTTCAATGTATCTGACAGATGAGATTTGAGACTAATGTTGTTTATTAATACATGAAGCAATCCTGCTATGTCTATATCTGCTGCCTTTGTCAGCTTTGAATATCCCGGAGCTTTGATGTAACATTTTCCAATCTCCCACGGACTGGTACACCATTTATGTATGTCTGTATTTTTCCAGTTTGGATCAGGGGGCATTGAGCCATGACAATTTATTATTTCTGTATGAATAGCATCACAGATTTTAGCAGGACAGGGGAATGTATTCTTAGGACAAAAACAGCCACATCCTTTTATGTCAAAAGGACATTTATTTTTGCCAATATGATTTTTCTTGCACGCATGTAAAGGTCTCAGATTTCTAAGACAACAAGAGCTACACGTGGTCCCGGGTTTGTGTTTTATTGTTGAAAGAATTCTTTCATGTTCCTTCTTAACCGCATCATCGATGAAATCTGCTATACCCCGTCGGAGATATTTATATGCCAATCCACCTTTGACCCAGTTTCGGTACCCCGTTTTCTCTATGTCTTGTTGAAGACTCATTGCAGTGATATAAATGCATAAACTAGTGCCTTATATATACATTGTAATTATCATTTTCATATTTGGAAAATATCTCTGTAAATGGAATCGAATCGTTTGGTACATATATCTCTGGACATTTAGATTGTACTTTTGTAGGGTTGGTTTCTTATTAAAAGATACTATATCCGCTGTGTTGAAAATAAAAAAAAAGAAAAAGAAAATTAATTTGGCACCATAAAGAAAAAATATATGCATGCAATTTAAATGGAAATATATCTTTCCACTCTAATACAAAGCCTTGACTTGTCTGTTCAGCTGAGGAAGAGCCGCCATTTTTGTAAAATAAAGGACATTAAAGGTTATATGTACAAACATGCTACAAAATAAGATATAGTGTTAACAATACAACATGTATATAAAAAAGATGTAAGTTGTTAATCAAAATTATGAAGAAAATATTAACATAAAAGAAATAAATCTAATTACATAATGTAAATTTTACCTTCCCATTTTAGCCGGCAAAACATTTATCGTTGCAAAATACAAATATAACTAGGACAGACAGCGAGGTCGCCAATGTTTTTTACTGATAACAAGAATCAATTTTAGCCATGCACACTCATACAAGTAGAGTTGTTTTTAAACCCACTTCTCAAACTTAATCTCTGTATAAATATTTATATTCGGCAGATTTATTGTTAAATGTATAGCACATTCGGGAAAGTAGCCATAGATTTGAAGTCTTCTTATAGACAAATATAACTCTTTCATAGAATTTATTCAAACTTTGCATGATCTTAGAATATAACAGAAACATTTTAGTGAACATAAAATAAAAGAAAACAATATGGGTTGATGGTCTCATTTTTGAGGTATTTGCCCTTGAATCTGAATTCTTTGTTATTCATGTAAGTTTTTAATTAATTATTAGTCCCTCTTTATCCATTTTTTGATATTTAGCCCAAACACTCCAAACGAAGTCAACTAAAATGTACATTGAAAGTAGAAAGATTTCAGACTTTCTTTTCCATAAATAACCTGCCCTTGAAATAAGCCAAAATAAAAATGAATGAATGAATGAATAAAAATAACAATAAAATCAAATACAGAGGTATTTTCCTTTCCTAAGAAATCCAGTTCCAGCACACACTTTTGATTAGTTGCATTGTCTTGCTTCATATTTTACTTCTTATTTACGATGGCCGATCTATTTTTTTTTTTTTTAATGTCTCGAATGTCTTTTGCAGGTTGCATGTTTTGCTCTTCGGTTAATTTGTTATAAAGAAGGCACCACACAGTAGTAAAAGAACAAAAACACGTATTTATACTAATACATGTATTACTACAATGTTTAAAAAATGAGTTTTTTACTTGTTATGATAAGGTATGTTTAATCGCATGTATTTATGTAGATTTGTTAAATGTCATATACATGTTCTTGATTTATATTCAACCAGAATAGAAACTAGGTAGTATATAACGTTTATACATATTTGAATGATCTATATGTGTGTTCACATCAGTTTAACAATTAATCGTTTCTCAGCAAATCATCGAAGTTACATTAGATTCTAGCCATTAATATACATATGTACGAGTAATTGAAGCATATTTGGTGATACTGCTCTTAATAGGAATATGAAATCGGCTCACTCTTCACATTTGGAATGCCTTCCTTGCATATTTGACGCAGCCATGGTTCTATCAACATGGAGTTCAAAAGTGCATAAATATATCCGTCTCATGGAAATATTATTCCACTCCTCCAACAAAACATTTTTAGTTTGTCAGAGTAGCAGGGTAGTCCAAATATTTAGACGTAAACCGCGGATTTGAAGCTATTTTTTACATTGGTCAATTTTCCGAAGGACTAAGTAGCAGGGGACTATGACTTCTCCTTACCCTTCTTGATCTTGATCTGTATTTCCTATTTTTCAATCATTTATTTGTTTTCTTTGAATTCCTAATCAGTTACAAATTATTTTTCATTTTAGTGATTAACCTGTCCGTGCTCTGTCTTGTACCCTGTCCTGTTTTTGTTTAGGGTCCGCCTGGGCTCCTTGCCACTGGTTCTTGTTGCTGGGTCGTAAGGGGGTTGCGTTCTTGAACGCCGCCTTTCCTTGTTGATCTTGTTTATCATATCATATACTGTATACGGTGTGACATCATAGAAATTGTTTACACCGGCCTTTGCAATTATCAAGCGGCTTAGGGCAACATGATACCCTCTCTAATGATTTTTGCGAGAGTTCCATTCTTTCACAGTAATTGGGAAAAACTATATTTCAACACATCAGTACGTGACTGGATACGAAGACTATGTTGGTTCTTGGTAGATCTTTTACTACGTTGTAAAATGTTTATATTTGTATGTGCTGGTTTGTTTACACCTTTGTTCATTAATATGAATATATTTTGTTGTCTCCGATCCTTAAGAGATGGTAAATCTATTTGTTTCAGAAGTGTTGTCATAGTACCAGGTTCATAGTTATAATTTGATGTTATAAATCTAACTGCTCTCTTTTGAACACTTTCTAATTTTTCTTGTAGATAAAGTTGACGCGGATCCCAAGCTGCACTACAAGTTTCTAAAACTGGTCTAATATGTCCTTTATATGCTTGTAATTTTACTTCTAGCGGGCATGTTGATATATTTCTTTCCAAAAGTCCAAGAGTTTTGTATGCTTTGTTACAGATTTCTTCAACATGCTTTCTCCAGTGCAAATTACTTGTTATATGGACACCAAGATATTTAATAGATTGTAGAAATTCCAGCTTTGTCCCTTAAAATGTATAGTCATCAGAAATTATTTTCCTTTATCTGGTTAGAGTCATCATGTTGCATTTTACCGGTTGAAACCTCATACCCCAAGTAGTTGCCCACTGCCCTAACTTGTCAATGTCCTCTTGTAAAATTTCACAGTTTTTTTCACTTATTATTTCTCTGTAGCAGACTCAATCGTCAGCGAATAACTTTATGTTTGATGAAATATTGTTCGAAATGTCAATATGAACCAGAAATAATATCGGCCCTAACACCGTACCTTGCGGAACACCAGATTTTACTGATGAAGTGCTAGATTTGCAACCGTTCACTACTACGCACTGTGTCCTATGTTTAAGAAAAGAGTCTATCCATAACAAGATGTTTTGAGATCACGGATTTATATTATATTATTGTAATATAAATCCGTGTTTGAGATACTCCATATTTTTTCAGTTTACTTTTCAATAGTTCATGAGGTACTGTATCGGACGCTTTTTCGAAATCAAGAATGGATATATCTGTTTGTTTATTGTTATCTATAGATGTAGCCCAGTCGTGGATGACGTTAACAAGCTGTGTTTCGCAACTATGATGTTTTCTAAATGCGTGTTGACGATCATTCAAAATATTATTTTGTTCTAAATATTGCATGAGGTTGGAACAGATTATATGTTCTAACAATTTATAAGTAATATATGTCAGCGACACAGGTCTGTAGTTACTTAATTGGAATCGATCTGTCGTTCTTTTTTAACAATGGGGAAATGTTCGCACTTTTCCAGACTGCTGGTATTAATCCGCAATCAATGGACTGTTGAAAGAAGTGGGCTAGGATTCCTGATATTTCATATGAAAGTTCTTTGAGTATTCTAGGGTGGATGTTATCAGGACCCATTGCTTTACTCGGATTGACATTTTTTAGAATATTTTCGACACCTCTTTAAGTAAATATAATTTTCTTCATGGTTTCAGTAGTTGGTTTGGAATACGGAACAAAACTGTAAATTTTCTCTGTAAAAACACTAGTAAATAGACGATTTACCTATGATTGTTCCAGCGGATTTACCGTCTCCTGACTTTAAGGGTGGTATACATTGCGAGTCTTTCTTCTGCCTACTTATATACTTCCAACAGGGTTTTGAGTCCTGTTTGATGTCACCAATAAGATTGTTTACAAACATACTGTGTGCTGATTTCAATTCATTATTAATAGAACTTCTCGGGATCTTCCATCTTTATTTAATCTTGGAGTTACCAGTTTTTTTATACAGAGCATGTGTGGGGTTTCATTTTTTAATCAAACGCTTAATATTATTATTAAGGTAGAACCTCTTTTCCACCTGACATTTTGCTAGGAATGTTCTTTTCAGATGTACCACGGATTTAAATTACAGGGATCGGACACTCCTAGTAAACCTATATAAAACGTTAAAATATCTTGTCGCGCGTGTACCTGTACACTCGATATCGGGAAACCGATCAATAATTCTTAGTTTATCGGAGTTAAGCGTAAAATACCTGCGCTAAACTGATACCTTCTCTACAAAAAGTCTTGTTGTCGTTTCATTTATTATCCGATTTTGAAAATTAAAAGACACATTTTAAGAAAATTGATTCTATATTGCAAATATCTATTTTTATTGAAAAAAATATATACTCTCTGTCCATACCGACGATTAAGAAATTGAAAACGACGAAAACCCGGAGTAATTTACCGTTAACTTTTCGGGGTGCGCAATTGATACTTACAGTACAAAAAGTCTTACTGCTTTACCATTTATTATCTGATTTTGAAAATTAAAAGACACATTTTGAGAAAATTGATTCTATATTGCAAATATCTATTTTTATTGAAAAAAATATATACTCTCTGTCCATACCGACGATTAAGAAATTGGAAACGACGAAAACCCGGAGTAATTTACCGTTAACTTTTCGGGGTGCGCAATTGATACTTACAGTACAAAAAGTCATGCTGCTTTAACATTTATTATCCGATTTTGAAAATTAAAAAGAACATTTTGAGAAAATTGGCCCCTAATTGCAATCATCTATTTTTATCTTAAAAAATATATATGTTCTGTCCATACCGACGGTTAAGAAATTGAATACGACGAAAACTCGGAGTAGTTAACCGTTAACTTTTCGGGGTGCGAAATTGATACCTACAGTACAAAAAGTATTGTTGGCGTATCATTTATTATCCAATTTTGGAAAATTGTAGATTATATTTGAGAAAATTTATTTTTTATTACAAATAAAGTTGTCAATAAGATAATAATAATATATATATATATAATTAGCCCGTCTCCGTTCATACCGACGATTAAGACAAAGCCGTGTACAAACGGTTAAAATCTTCTTTTCTTTTCAAATACAACATTAAACTTGATTTACGGATATTTAAAAAAATGCCATTTCAGACTATTCCACCGCTTCTATTATTTAATGAGCGAAGTTAAAGTTGCTTTTATTAAAGGATGTACGAGTAATAGTTGGATTTGTGCTTTCCAGATGCAGTTATTTTCCGTAATATCGTAGAACAATTCAACTATACATGTATTGTTTTTGGTAAGCACGGGCGTTTACTTGCCTTTTATTTCAATCATATTTTAAATACAAAAACAGGCCCTATTATTTTTTTTGGAAGTCATAACATTTTTGGGATAATTGATATTAATACAGGCATTCACAGTTTGAGTCGGTATTGAGCGGTTGTTTTTTATCTGGTAAGTGTAAATTATT